CTCCCTGAAGTATGGCCTGGGCTTCTGGGTCAGGAGCAGGGGAGGGGCTGTGCAACCCTCCGTGGCCGCCTCCCGGAAGCCCTCAGGAATTCCTGCTTCCCCTTCCCCTCAGCAGGTATCTCTCCCGCTGCCCACACGTCTGTACTGGGGACTCACGGTGCGTGTGTGGGATGTCGGAGGTCATGGGTGTCGGGTTCTCTTCGGACGGACGGAGGCACATGCTGGGTGCTGGCTCTCTGTGAGACACGGCTGGATTGCCGCCTGGGGCGGGGGCGGGGAGAGGCGTGGCCTGGCCCACCTGCTTCAGGTCCTGACCTCCCTCCTTAGCATCCTGAGGCTGCCCCTCCCCTCCCCTCCCTGCTCCTGCTCCTGCTCCAGCTCGTACTCCTCTCTCCCTCCCTTTCTCCCTCCCTCCCGCCCTCCCTCCTGTGCACACACCTGCTTCCCCTTCCTGCAGTGGATCCAGCCCCCCTCCCCCTCCAGAGTCCTGCTCCTCTATCCCTTGTCGACAGTGTTCCCCTCTTCTGGACTCCCCACCTCTCCACTGCCAGGCAGTGCTCCTCCCAGGTCCCCAAGCTGGCTCTCCCCGCCTCTGTCCCTCATCCCTCATACAGGCTCAGGCTGTGGGTGCTCCCTCTGGCCGGGTCCCTCCTTCCAGCCGCCCCTTCCCCAGTGCCTCAGCCACCCCCTTCCCTTCCCTTCCCGGAAAGACCCCCACCTCAGCCTCTGGTGCTGCCCCGGGTACCACTGTTCGCCTCATTCCTGGGTTTCCGATCACATTCATTAATGGCTGCGATGTCCATTTGTTCTGTCCCCCCTCCTCCCCCGGCCCCTGGCTTTCCCACGAGTCCCCTCTGGGAGTCCTTGGTGTCTGCGTGGCCCCTCCTGGCTCAGAGCCACCTGGCTTCTCAACAGCCGTGGGGGGAGCCCGCCCTCCCTCCCTCCCTCTCCCCCACCGTCGGGCACCGTCTCCAACTTCCCCAAAGCTGTCTGCCTCCTGCCTCACTTCTCCGAAAGCCCCATCCCCCCCCCCCCCCCGCCCCGGGGTTTCTCTGGGTGACAGGTCACATGACTCACCAGTGCAGCCAGCACTCGGGTGCAGTTCCCACCCGGCCACTTCCCGCCAAGTCGCCATCCTTCTCTGAATCTCCTGTCAAACCGGGATGGGGAAAGCATCTCCCGCAGCGGCCGAAGGAGGTTCCTCCCCGAGGTGACACCTGCGCCCCGCAACCCTCTCTCCGCCCCGGGCGGGTGGGCCGGGGCTCGGGGTTCCCACCTGCGGGGTTTGGAGCTGTCCCAGCCCCTCCTGGTCAGGTGAGCCCGCTGGGCGGGAGGCTGGCGGGGAGCCGACGCGGAACCTGTCCTGGCGTCTCCCTCCACGCCGGGTCTCGGGGGAGTGTCACTGGACTGCCGGCCTCATGCCCTCGGGGTGACTGGGCGCTGCTGAGTGAGGGCAGGAGCCACCTGGCCCCGGGCAGAGGGGAAGGTCCCAGGGCCCCTCCAGCCCTCTGCTCCCCCAGCCCCGTAGCTTCCCTCGCTGCCTGTCTAACCAACCTGTGATGCCCATCAGCTCAGGGCCTTTGGCTCAGAGAGGTGACCTGGGCACCCGGGGCTGCGGAGGCAGAGGTTGGGGCAGAGGGAACGTGTGGCTGGCCTCAGGAATGGCCTCTGGTCCCGTGGGGTTGCTGGGTGACGGGACCGGAGGGTTCCATTTTGGCCCATTTTTGCGATTGGGGACAGAAGCCCGCTGCCCTCCTGGGCGGCCTGGAGGGGTGTGGGGGCGCGGTGGCTGCACTCCCCCCACCCCGGCATGCTTCCAGGGGAAGTGACCCCACGGGACGCTTCCTGTCTGAACCGCCGGGACTCCAGGAAACACCCCCACTTGTGGCCTTGACTCTTCCCGTCTCCTGCCCCGGAGCCGACCTTCCAGGGCCCGTATCCTGGACGCTGGGCTGTCTGCGGGGAGCAGGGACTGGGGGGGGGGTCTGGGCAGGGGGTGGGCACGGGGCTGCGGGGGAGACAGGGAAGCACTTCCGAGGGAGCCCCCGCTCCTCAGAGCGTGTCCGCCCCACGCAGGGGCTCACGCCCAGGGCACCGCAGGCCTGTGCGAGGCTGAGCGTGCGGGACAGGGTTCTGGCCTGGGCTGGGCCCTAGGAGGGAGGGGCCTGGGTCCCTGCTGAGCCTGAAGTTTCTGAGTCACCGAGCTGGCCTCGCGGGCCGGAAGTGGGAGGAAAAGGGTCCTCAGATCGGAGCTTCCCTCCCGGGATGGGGTGAGCCGCGCCTGCGCCTGCGCCCTGGCCCCGGCCCTGGACAGCTGGACAGCTGGTGACCACAGGGTGGTCCTGCTGTCCCCACACTCTGCCGCTGGGCTGTGCTGGGCTTTTTGGGGTTGGAGGGTGACGCAGAGACTGTCTCAGCGCCTCCGTCTCCTCCAGTGGCAGAACAGGGTCCCATCCCCCTGGCAGGGGCTGCAGTGAGAGCCGGCTGGGAAAATGATGGGGGCCTGTCGGGCCCCACCCCCACCCGGCCCGGGGGACCAGCGGGAGAGGCCCAGGCCACACTGGTGGGCAGCATTGGGTGCTCTGGGCGGGGCTGGTGCCGCCTCCTCCTGGGCAGGCCGGGTGGGCCTTGCAGAGGGACAGGTTCGGAGTCTGGGCGCCTGAGGCCTGGGGTCCTGTCCGTGACCTGTGCTGTCTCCGGGGGTCACCCCCACCCTTGGCCTCTGGTCTGGTTCTTGCTTATTCTATCCAAGTGGGCAACTCCGAGGTGGGCCTGCTGCCCCCCACTGCCCCCCATTGAAGGCCAAGCCCCTGACCTCCGCATGGCCAGTGGGCGCAGCTCCGGGCCAGAGGGCTCAGCGGTGGGACCCAGAGCCAGCAGGCGTGGGGCGGGGTGGGGCGGGGTGGGGTGGGGTGGTGTCTGCCAAACGGGCTGTGGACTGCACGCCATCTACCTGGGGCTGTGTCCGGGGACTTGCCCTTTAACTGTCAGCGCACCTCCTGCAGGCTTTAGCCCCAGCCACAGGCGGGAAGCAGGGGCAGGTGTTTCCGGGACACTCCCAGGGGCTCAGGTGCAGCCTGGGCTGCAGCTCGGAGTCTGGTGTGGCCTTGGGCTTGCCCACCGCTGGCCTCTGCGCTCACTGCACCACGCGGGGGGGGGGGGGGGGGGCGGCTTTCCGGGTGCCCTGGGCCCAGCGGTCCCAGCTCCGGGGCCAAGCACCCATCCCACCACTCACACCCCGCCCACTGGGGGCGCTGGGCCTGGACTGAAGACCCGGCACCTGTCCCCGCACTGCCACCCACCAGCTGGCTCTGTGACCTGGCCCGGTGGTGTCCCTCGCTGAGACTCCCCCTCCTCTTAGGACGGGGCCTGGCCTCGCTGCTGTTGAGTGTGGAATGAGATGTGTGAGCAGAGCACCCCGGGCGGTTCTAGCGAGTGTAAAGCCCGGGACGCCGGCTGCAGGCCGGGGACCCCATGGCACTGCCATGCCCACAGGCCCCAGGGACGCCCTGCCAACGAGACCTTTTCCCACGAGGGAAGTAGGGAGACCTGTCTGGCACACCCTCTGCTGATGGAGCGGAGGAGGGGTGTCCCATCCATCCACTCACCCGCAGGACCAGCCCCGAGACCTCCAGGCCACACTCTGGGCAGCTCCAGAGCAGAGGCCGGGCCGGGCTGGCCGGCGGGTCAGCGCCGTGTGAAGGGTTAGGAAAGGGCTCGTTGCTGGGCTCCCCGGGTGGCCAGCCCCTCTGTGTTAACCTGGGGGAAACTGAGGCGGGGGGGCTGCTTGGTGACGGCTCCAGGGTCCAGAGGACAGGAGGAGGCCATTCCCTGGCCTTGCCTCTCACCACTCCCTGCAGCAATCCCGAACCCGACGACTCTGGCCTTGTCTTTCCTGCCTCCTGGGTGGGCCCCTCGGAGCCCCCCACCTCCACTTCCGCATGTTACCCGCGGCCTGGCCCAGCCCCCACCCTCAGCCCAGCCACGGCCGCCTAGAAGCTGCTGGCTCAGGAGCCGCCAGCTTTTGCTGAGTGAGCGAGTCCAGAGGTGCTGTCTTGGCACAAAGCGCCGCTGGCTAAGGCCTCTTCCCTCTCTCCCTTCCTGCCCCCTCCCCAGAGTCCTCTTGGAGGGGGGAGTGTGGATTAGCCTAAGGAGGTGAGGACAGAGGCTGGTGCCCCCCCCTCAGGGGAGGAGGGTCCTGAGGCCCAGAATGGGGTCGGGGGAGGCCACTGGGCTGGCCAGGGAGAGCTGGGTCTGGGAGGCAGGAAGTGGGTGGGTCTGCCTTGCCTGGTGGTTGAAGAACCTTTGGGCCTCAGCCCTGCCGGCCATGGCTGGTCCTTCGTCTTTGGCCCGTCCTTAATTTGCATAACATTTGCATTAACAGTAACAACAAAAAACAGTGCCCACTTAGGTGCCTCCCGTGTGCCAAGGCTTCATGCACACCTCTCTGCATTCAGTGGCCCTTGAGGCAGGACCACAGGGGTTGTCCACGCTCTACAGAGGTGGATGCTCAGGTTCTCAGCCCTGATGAATAGACAGTCACCTGTTGGACACCCAGAGCCGAGCACATACTGGGTGCTGACCACCTACTGGGTGCCACACGGAGCCCTAGGCCCTGGGCTGGAGTGGGTATGGTGGACAAAGATGAAGGAGTCTTGCCCCCAAGGTATTTTGTGTTTGGCCATTCTGCCCTTGGGACAACCCTGGTGCTAGCATCCCTATTTTATAGATGGGGAAACTGAGGCCCGGGGTGGCAGGCAGAGGCTCAGCTCTCTAAGTCTGAGAACTGCATCCTGTGCTTGCTGTTTGCCTCACAGCCAGCCCCACCCGGACGAGGGCTGCCCACCGCCCCTTGAAGCTGCTGCCCCGGCCTCCTGGAAGAGCCACAGGGAGCCCCCGGGAGCCGTGGGGGAGGCCGCTGCAGGGGAGGGGACCCGAGGCGAGGAGAGCCCTGCCGCCGCCGCCGCCGCCGCCCAGCTGGACGTGTCCCGCCTGTGCAGCTCGTCCATGGAGATCCGCGAGAAGGGCTCGGAGTTCCTGAAGGAGGAGCTGCACAAGGCCCAGAAGGTGGGGGCCGGGGAGAGCGGGGGGGTGGGGGTGGGAAGGGGGGGATGCTGGATGCCCAGAGGCCTCAGGCACCGGTCCAGGCCTGCACGGGTACGGGGGTGTGCAGACAGGACAGAGCAGTTGTAGGGTGCCTTGTAGAAGGGTTGTCCCCGAAAACCTGCTCCAGGCTCAGGCACGGGCAGCCGGGGTGTCCTCCCTGCCAGCAGCTGAATGGAAATCGCCTCATAAGCTAGAGCAGCAGAGGCGAGCTCAGCCCCAACCACCAAGGTGACCGGGGCCTGGAAGGGACCTAGTCGCCCAGTGTCAGGCCCGAGGGCCCCGGAGGGGCTGACAGCCGCCCGCCCGGTGCCCCCAGGAGCTGAAGCTGAAGGATGAGGAGTGCGAGCGGCTGTGCAGGGTCCGGGAGCAGCTGGAGCGGGAGCTGGAGGAGCTGACAGCCAGCCTGTTCGAGGTACGCGGGCCGGCGGGGCGGCGGGGGCCGGGCTGCTGGGCGCCATCGGCTCCTCACCACCCCGTCTTCCCAGGAAGCCCACAAGATGGTGCGAGAAGCCAACACGAAGCAGGCGGCGTCGGAAAAGCAGCTGAAAGAGGCTCGGGGCAAGGTGAGCCCCGACATTGCCCACGCGCCCCCCCCATTCAGTCACACACACACACACACACACACACACACACACACACGGGGCGCCAGGGGTGGGCACACCGAGGCCCAGAGGGTGCGGCTGGAATTCATGGTGCCACAGAGACCTGGGGCCTTCCAGATCATTGTCACACACACCCCCTGCCCCACCACCCCCCAACACACACATGCACACACACACACACACATACACACACACACCCTCAACACAGCGGGTCCTCTGTCTGGCTGTGAGAGCCTGGGCAAGTAGCGTGTTTGTGCGTCTGTAAAATGGGAGGCCTGGCTGTCCTAGCTCCGGGGTGCCCCTCCGTGGGAGGCTAGCTCCCCAACAGGGCATCTCAGGGTCCGGCTCACAGTGGGGGTACCTGGTCGGGGTGGGTGCTCCGTGCTGCCGTCCCGGGCAGCCGGGGGGCGGCGTCACCCTGGGCGATGGTTGGCAGCCTTCTCATCCCGGCCAGATTGACATGCTGCAGGCGGAGGTGACCGCCCTGAAGACACTGGTCATCACGTCCACGCCCGCCTCTCCCAACCGCGAGCTGCACCCCCAGCTGCTGAGCCCCACCAAGGCTGGGCCCCGCAAGGGCCACCTGCGCCACAAGAGCACCAGCAGCGCCCTCTGCCCCCTCGCGTGCCCCGCGGCAGGTCACATCCTCACCCCGGACAAGGAGGGCAGAGAGGTGAGGGCGGAGGGCGGGCCGTGGCACGGACCCACTGTCAGCCAGGCAGTGGGGCCAGGTGGGACCAGGCCGGACCTCTCCCCCATCACCCCCGCCCCCCGAGCCTGCCCTGCCCTCTCTGGGCGTGTGTCCTTGGCCATGAGGGCTGGCAGGCTCCTGTAAAGGACACTATGACCCTCAGCTCCCAGTGTGCAGTCTGGGGTCTGGCCTCCGGCGGCAACGCTGAGCCTCTGAGGCCGGCACCACCTGGGACACCCTGCACTCCAGGCCTGGGGACCCTGTGGCTGTGGTGCCGGGACAGGCATGGCCTCTGAGGGGCCGTCTCCCTCCTCGGCCAGGCACATGGAGCACGTGGGCCAGGTGGACGCTGGCCTGGGATTCCCTTGTCCTCGAGCAAGTGGGGGCTCCTGTCGGCGCCTCAGTCTCCTCGCGTGGGGCGTGGGGGCTCGGGGGCGGAGAGGGGTGCAGCCCTGCGCCCCCGAGGGCTCCAGTGGGTCCAGGGTTCCTGGGTCTCTAATGCCCATGTGGCCCCAGCCCCATCCTGCCCCGCGTCTCAGAGCTTCCGGGGAGGAGGTGCGGGCCCGGCCTCTGTCTCCTTCTGCGTTCTGAGCTCTGACCAAACACTAACCTCTGCTCCTCCCTCTGTCTCCTGCACCCGCTGTCTGTCTGCCCTGCTGGCCCCGCCTGCCCAGCCCGGGCTGCCCCCCCTCCTGTCCCTGCTCCTCTGTGTGCTCCCCAGTAAGGCGGTCCACCTCACCTACGAGCCGGCCTGGCAGCTCCCGCCTGGGGAGCGGCCTGCGGCCCCCACCTGCGCTGCCTCTCTCTCCTGTTCCCGCCAGGTAACGGCTCTGGGGGCCGCCCCTCTGCCCCTGTGCCTCACTCTGCATGCTCCCCTCTCCCCCTCCCCAGCGCCCTGTGCTCCCTTCTGTGTGTGTGCTCGGTGTGCGGGGCCTGGGGACCTGTGGGGGCACTCCAGCCCTTCCTCTTGGAGGATGCAGGGCTCTTCCCGATGAGGCTGGACCAGGTGCGTGCCCAGGGGGCACGGAGACAGCTCGGGGGGCCGAGCCAGCCAGCTGAGCTCTCCTGCAGGCCCAGGGGGGCCCTGGGAAACCCCGGCATGCTGCTGCCTGCCCTGCGTCCTCCCTGCTCCGCCCTCCTCGGTCCTGCCCGTCCCTGTGTCTGCCCCGTGCCCTGACCCTCCCCCTCCGTCCCCCGCAGGTGGACACCACGCTGTTTGCGGAGTTCCAGGCCTGGCGGGAGTCGCCCACCTTGGACAAGGACAGCCCCTTCCTGGGGCGCGTGTACCGTGAGGACGTGGGGCCCTGCCTGGACTTCACGGCGCAGGAGGTGAGTGGGCGCGGGCGGCCGGCGGGCCCCGCCCCTCCGCCGGCCGCCCGCACCGCCCAACCGCGCCCTGGTCCGCGCAGCTCTCGGCGCTGGTGCGGGCCGCCGTGGAGGACAACACGCTCACCATCGAGCCCGTGGCTTCGCACACGCCGCCCACGGTGAAGGCAGCCGCCGCTGGCTACGGCAGCACCAAGTAAGCCGGCTCCCTCCCCCTGCTGCTCCCCCCAGGGCCTGGCCGGCATGCCGCGGGAGCGCTGCGGGGCTCCGGGCAGAAGAGGGACGGTGGCTCTGCCCACTGACCATCCTGCCCCTAGTCACGGGCCCCAGGCTCTCCAGGGAGTCTGGGGGTGGGGTGTCCTTTTTCCTTGCTGGCTGGCACCCCCTCCCCACCCCCTCCTTCCCACAGGGGGGTCCGGGCCTCGACTGTGAGTGGTGTCAGTGGCCAGCTCTGCCTTCTGGTCCTAAGGGCCCAGGGGCCCTGGCCCCTGTCCTTCCTCTGCTCAGGCTGCACTGAGCAGGGCCAGAGCAGAACCAAGAGGCCTGGGGGGGCTGGCGGGGCGGGGAGCAAGGGTGGAGCTTGGGGAGCGGTGCCCTTGGCTGCCAGGGGTGGGAGCCAGTGAGACCTGGGCGTTAACCTGCTGGGCCAGCCTTTCTCAAACCACCAACAATGTCTCTGAAAAGGGGTTCCCTGGTCTCCCCGGAGGCCTCGGTGACCCGGGGCAGCCAAGGCTCAGACGAGTCCCCCAGCCGAGCAGCCTGGCTGGCCTTTCTTTGCTCGGGGTTCTCCGTGGCTACTTCCGGGGCAGGGGGAGCAGCAGGGGAGACGAGGGGTGAGGTGTGGAGCGTTGGAGGCGCCGCTCCTTGGCATCCCCGGCCGCGTGAGGGAGAAGGCGGCACGGGGCTGCTGGGAGCTGAGGGGAGCTGGCAGGGGCCCTGCTGGCATGGCCTCGCCTGGGGCCTTGGTGACGAAGGGGAGGACAAGGTGGCCTCTGCTTCGTCCGGGAAGGGGTGATGGTCTGAGGCCCCAGTGAAGTGGGAGAGACATCCTAAGGGCTTCTTGGTACACTCGTTCTGCCCTCCGGGGCGGGGGACAGGGGCTCTGGGGTGGGGTCCAGCCCCGGGAGTTCTTGGCCTGGCCCGCCCTGGGCTCCTCGGGAGGCTGGTCCTGGGGAGAGGACGCCAGGTCCGCCCCGGTGTCCATCTGCCGCCCCTCCCACTGCCTCCCCCTCGGCTGTGCCTCCCCCTGCATGAGAGGGCGGGTGTGCCCAGCCGGCCCCCTCGGCCCCTCTGCTTCCCCGCAGCACGTGTGCCCTGAGCGGGCTGGCCCGGGCCTGTCGCCACCGAATCCGGCTCGGGGACTCCGAGAGCCACTACTACATCTCACCGTCGTCCCGGGCCAGGGTGAGTCACCGCTTAGCGCACCGCGTGGCTCCTGAGGGGCTCCCAGGGCTGGGACTCTGGGCCCCCGACCTTGGTCTACAGAGCGGGCTCAGAGAGGATCAGGCCACACAGCCCCCCCATGAACGCCATGGCTCCCAACACCCATTGCTTCTCACCTCCCTGGTCAGGGGTCTGGGCCCAGCTTAGCAGGGGGCCCAGATCAGGCCCCCTCCCCCCCCCCCCCCGGGCAGCAGCCGAGGTATCCGTGACCTCCACACTTGTCAGCTGGCTTCGTTTCTGGAGCCTCCGTTTTCCCAGAGGAACAGGGCAGGAGAGGCCTGGCGGCCTCCATGGAGCGTGCCCTTGATGCAGTGCTAGTGCTGCTATTGTTTGAGTACAAGTCGTAAAAAGTACTGTTATTCTTAAAACAGCCCAGCCCCGTCCGATTCTGATGGGACAGGACACGGGGCGTCCCGCTCTGGTCTCTGGCCTGCCCTGGCGTTTGAGGGACCCCAAGTCTGAGGACTGGCTGGTCACACGCTCCCCCCTTTTTCCCACAGATAACTGCCGTGTGCAACTTCTTCACCTACATCCGCTACATCCAGCAAGGCCTGGTGCGGCAGGACGGTGAGCGCCCCCTGGTGGCCGCCGCGGGGACGGCCTCTGGGGTCCATCCCAGGCTTCCGCTGCCCCAGGCTGGGAGACGCTGGGTTAGGAAAGCGCTGGTCAGCCAGGCGCTGATGTGAGCTGCCAAAGGGGCCTCTAAACCCCGCTTCACCAGGAACGCTAGCCTGATGCCACCCGCCTACCTGGGTGGGACTGCTTTCTCCCTGGCCCAGGGCCCTGCAGGGACAGCTCCCTGTCACTGGCCTGGCGCTTGAGGACCTGCATGAGGGGCCTCCCCTAGGCACCCCTCTCCTCCAGGTGTGGCCTTCGGATGCCCCTGGCCCCCTCCTGCCCCCCTGCATAGCCTGGCTTCCCATTTCTTCACACTTGGTTCCCTGAGAGCCTCCTGAGCCAGTTTGGAGTGAGCGCCTCTCCCCCAGCCTGGGGGGCCAGATCCCTCCCTCAGGAAGGCCACCGCCAGGCCACGGCTGAGCCAGAAGGGCCACCTCCTTCCCGCTGCAGGGACTAGCCCTGCGCCCTACGCCCTCTGCCCTGCGCCCTGCTCAGGGTCCCGGTGAGGCCTCTGGAGGAGAGGAGGGAAGGCTTTGCTAGTGTGTGGCCGTGTGACCTGCTGATGTGTCCGGCTGTGGTGGCCATTGCCACCCGCTCCCCGGACAGTGCAGCTCCTTCACGTGCCCCCTCCGCAGTCCCCAGAGCCGCAGACTGGAGCCCCAGACAGAGCAGCCCCTCGTCCCGGGGGCCGGGGGAGCCCCAGAGTGCCTGCCGCTGCCCTGTCCAGAGTCAGGCTGTCTGCCCAAGGTGACCCTGAGCCGTCGCCAAGCTGTCCCCTCTCTCCCCTGCAGCAGAGCCCATGTTCTGGGAGGTCACGAGGCTGCGGAAGGAGATGTCGCTGGCCAAGCTGGGCTTCTTCCCCCAGGAGGCCTAGGCCTGGCAGGGCTGGGAGCCGGAGCAGCAGCTGCCCGGGCCCGGCAGACAGACGGGAAAGCGGGGCAGGAGCCGCCCCGAGCCGGAAGCTGAACAGCCGGACAGACGGCCAGCCGAGGAGGCGCACTGAGCCGGCACCACGCGCCCAGCCCAGGGAGTCAGGACCTTCTCCCTTCCCCGAGGCACAGCCACCACGAGACTCTAGAAGGCACCAAAGACCAAGGACCCGGACCGCACTCAGGGCTCAGCTTTCGGGAGGGGACACCTCGGGCGGCCAGCACCCTCGGCCCCGGGTCCGGGACCTGCTGCCTGCAGGTGCTTGTGGCTGCTGGGCAGCCTGGTGTCCTGGGATTGCCAACCCCAGTTCCCAAGCCCTGCGCACCAGCGCCCCCTTGTGGCCATCCCTCTCCCCGTCCCAGTGGACCTGCCCACTGGGCAGTGGTGCCAAGGACTTCCATGCCAGCTGGAACCTGCTTGAGAACTGCCTCCAAGTTCCTCCGATGGACAAGGGCCCTCGCATTTGACCTGCCCCCGCCTCTCTGAGCCCTGTGCTCCGGGAGGCACTGCCCCCACCGCTGGAAGGACCGGGCACTTTTCCCCAGAGCAGAGCACAGACAGGGCCTCAGGGCGCCATGCCTGCCTTCAGGCTGCGTGGACCGAGGTCCCCAAGCCCTGCCCATGGGACAGGGGTGGGACAGGCCGGCCCCAGGCCCTCCTCACCCCTCCCAGCCCATTCAGGACCCGGTACCACCCGGACACGTAGCTCCCCACGTCCAGGGTCCGCCTCGGAATGGAATGCAGCGCATCTCCGTCTAATAAAGGAAGCCTTTGTTGGCGGAGGCCCGGCCTCGCTCCTGTGCCCCGGGGCCCGGGCCAAGGCGCGGGCATCGGCAGGAATGAAACCAAATCCTCTCCTCGCCCACCGCCCTCGTGCTCTGGATTAAGCCAGATCCTGCGGGGTGGCTGTAGGGAGGACTCCTTGGTGCTCCCAGGGTTCCGTGGGGCTGTGGGCTGTTGGGGGAGGAGCCGCTGCTGTCGGGAGAATGGCTGGCTAGGCCGTGCCTCCTGAGGGCCTTTGGGGGGGGGGGGGCCTTTCCAGTCTCCCTGCCTCAGGCCAAAGGAAGACTGGAGCCCAGAGTCAGCTGCCTGGCACTCAGGGGACAGTGGCAGGGTTGACTGGTGGTGTCTGCTGGCGGCACAGGCAGGGACCGTGGCAGCCATCAGGGACACGGGAGGATGAAGGGCTGGGACCTGGCACTACCCATCTCCACCCCCCCCCTCCCGCCACCCGCTCAGTCACACCCAGGGCCAGGGAAACACGGGGTGACATTGCAGAGGCCTGGCCGAGGACCCCACCCTCCAGACCTACTCTGCCTGCCCCTCCAACAAAGAGCACTTCTCTCTCTCTCTCTCTCTCTCTCTCTCTAAAATATATTTTATTGACTTTACACAGAGAAGGATTGAGAGGGATAGAACGTTAGAAACATCGATGAGAGAGAATCATCGATCAGCTGCCTCCTGCACACCCCCCACTGGGGATGTGCCCGCAACCAACGTACATGCCTGGGACCTTTCAGTCCGCAGCCCGACGCTCTATCCACTGAGCCACACCGGTTTCGGCAACAAAGAGCACTTCTGCTGTCAGGCCCTCGTGGGGCCATAAGAGCAAGCAGTAGCTGAGATACCCAGGGGTGTGTGAGGGATGGGAACACTCTGGCCCCATTATCTCCCAACACTACCTGATTGCTGAGCACTTGTCCCGTCCCAAACCTGGTGTCAAGCCCCTTCCATGAACAAGCTCCCTTGACCCTCGCAGCAGCCCCACGCGGTGCTGTTATCCCCGTTCTGCAGATGAGTAGACTGAGGCACTGGGAGGGCACACAGAGGAACCGGTGTCCCCACAACATGAGCCCAGCCCCGAAGTGTCCGCCAGGGTCCTAGACTCCGTTTACTAAACGTCTCCATGTACGAAGTGACCGGTTCCGTTCCCGGCCAGGGCGTGTGTCCGGGTTGTAGGCTTGATCCCCGGGAGAGGGTGTGCAGGAGGCAGCCCATGGATCTCTCGCTCTCCTATTGACGTTTCTCTCCTTCTCTAAAAAAAATAAAATAAAATTCAAACCCCTGCCATGTTCCTGGTGAGGAGCCAGGCCCTTCCCTGGGTCTCGGAGGTGGAGAAGCTGAGGTGCCGGTGTGGCAGAGGCAGGTTTGAGTCCAGGTTTGTTTTCCACATTTTTACCCCGTGACACCTGCCCCGCCCTGTTCTTCTGGCTTGAGGTAGGCGGGGGCTCAGGGAGGGGACCGTCGGCTGACATCAGCCGCACAGGTGTTATTCCTCTTGAGTGAATTTTCTAGATAACCCATTGGCCCTGGCACATGAGGCCACCTCTTGAAAGCTAGCACCATCAGGCCATTGAGCTCAGCCCAGCCGCCACTCGGCCACATCTCACAGCCTGCCACGCCTGTCCTGGCCTGATCCTGCCGGGGCTCTGGACCTGGGCCCGGCGCTCCTCTCTGGGCCTCAGTTTTCTCATCTGTGAATTGGGAAGATTGGCTGACGTCCCCCTTTAAGGTCCCCTCCCTCTTTTCTCATTTATTTTATTGTGGTAAAGAAAAGTTTACCATCTTAATCATTTAAAAAAAATTATATATATATATATATATATATATATATATATATATATATATATATATAGTATTCTTTATTCCAGAGAGGAAAGGAGAGGGAGAGAGAAACATCAATGATGAGAGAGGCTCATTGATAGGCTGCCTTCCGCACGCCTCGTACTGGGGATTGAGCCTGCAATCCGGGCTTGTGCCCCAATCGTGAATGGAATTGTGACCACCTGGTTCATAGGTCGACACTCAACCACTGAGCCACACCGGCTTGTCGTGTTAGGTGTGTTCACACCGCTGTGAAACATGTCCGGCGTGGGACCGGGTAACATTCCGTGGTGCGTATGGACCCACGTCCTCGTCCACCCGATGGACACAGACTTGCCACCACTGCCGCCGTGGCATGGCGCGCAGCGCTCGCTCTCTCTCTCTCTCTCTCTCTCTCTCTCTCTCTCCCCTATCCCGCTTTCCATTCCTTTGGATGTTCGCTGAGAGGTGGATGGGGTGGCAGGTGCGCTCAGGAGCCTCCACACCATCTTCCATGGCGCCTGCTGCCTCCGCGGTGCGCACGGTTCCGATGGCGCCACATCCCCGGCACCTCCTCCCGCACCCCCTCCCTCGCTGCCCGCGGATAATGGGCTGCTAATGGCTGCGGGGCGGCTCCTTGCGGTTCTGACTTGCATTTCTCTGATGCTAATGCTGCTGAGCATCTTTCCGTGTGCCTGTGCTCCGGCATCTGTGCGCCCTCCGGCCTCGCCGCGGGGAGCCTTCGTGGCGGGGAGGGAGGCGCGGTGTGGAGTACCCTGCGGCCCTGCCCCCAGCCCCTCACAGAGGAGGATGTGCGGGGACCAAGCCGGCGGGGAGGTGAGCTTGAGCTGCCAGGCGAATCCTGAGGCTCAGGGAGTCCGCTGTGTGTGTGCCCAGGAGGGACCATAGGGCTCTGTGGCTGCCCTGGGGGGAGGGGGGTGCCCGGCGCTCCCCTAACACCCCGGTGCGCCTATGCCGCTGGCCGGAGGGCACACGCAGTGCTTGGCTCCCGGACAGCGGCTGGCAGCTCCGCAGGGTGGAGACGTCGGTGTGTCCAACAAGGGGCCTGTGTGGCAGCTCCTGGCAGGGCCAGTGCGGCGGGGGCTGGGCAAGGGCCGTGTTGGAGGGCCCCCTCCCACGATGCTTCATGCCCGGGCCCTCCCCCGCCTTTGGGGCCAGTTTCCCCTCCTCCTCCTCCCTGAACCAGCACTGGCCTCGGCCCAGCGGCCGCTCAGGAATGTCAAGCGGTGCCTCTCCCTCTCCAAGTGGTCAGAGAGGCTCGCTCGCTCTGCGGGGTGTGGGGACAATGGAGCCCCAAGTTCCTCCCCCACCCCACCCCCACCCCACAGACACTCCAGGAGACTCAGGAGCCCCTGAGTTGCAGCCCAGGGAGGTGAAGGGACCTACGGAAGCCCCAAGGCCGGCAGAGCAGTCAGGTGGGGCGCAGTGGGGAGGAGGCACAGGTCAGGCTTTATGGGGCAGCGGGAGGGCTGGGGCCCTTGGCTCTTTTTGTCAGGGATGGGGGGGGTGGGGGGGGAAGGGAATGGCACTGGGCCCTGTCCCTGCCTCCCTCCTGAGAGACTCGGTGCCGGCCTCACCTTCCTGTCTCTCCGGGTGCAGCCCGGGGTGTGGAGGACATAACGCAGCCCACCCCCCAGCAGCCTCACCATGCGCTGAGAGTAGGCCAGGTCCAGAGAGGGCGCCAGGGGTCAGGTCCGGCCCGGAGGAAGGGGTGAGGGCTGCCGCTGTGGAGGCCGTTTCCAGGGGTGGAATATAGCGTCACTGCAGTCACCACGCTGCCCCTCAGGTCCCCAGATTAGTCATCTCATCGCTGAAAGCTTTTACCTTCAGCCAACATCTCCCCGCTTCCCGGTCCCTCCGGCTGCCAACCGCCATTTCACTCTGCCTCCACGAGCTGGCTTTGTAGAGTCCACCTAAGTCTCCTGCTGTTCGACTTACTTCACTTAGCAGAATGCCCTCCGTGTTGGCACCATGGCGGGAGTGCCTGCTTTTCTCATGGCTGAAGAGTGTTCCACACTAGAGCCCGGGGCATGAAATTCGTGGATGGGTGGGGTCCCTGGGCCTGGCTGGGGATCAGGACCGGTTAGGCTCCCCACCTCCCTGCCTCCTCCCCTCCCTGCCTCTCGCCCTCCACCTTCCCTCGCTGCCCGTGTCCGCCACCCCCCCATCCCACCCCCCACCCCCCGGCCGGGTTCCCCAGCCCTCACCCTGGGCCTGGCCCTGACTTGGAGATCGGGACCTGCCAGTCCAGGGGAGGGGCTGGGAGGTTGGCCAGCAGGCCCCATTGGCAATCAGGGCCTGCAGGCTGGGGGCAGCTCCTCATTAAGCACCTGCCCCTTGGTGGTCAGTGCACACATCATAGCAACAGGTCATTCTGGTTATTGTGTCGTTCTGTCGTTGCTTAGGCTTTTATATATATAGATTATCTCACATCTTCTTCATTCATCTGTCAGTGGACACTGTGATGTTCCCACAGCACAGCTCAGCTACAGTGAACAATCCTGCAGTGAACATGGGAGTGCACATACCTCTTTAAGATTGTGTTTTCAGGCCAAAGCCGGTTTGGCTCAGTGGTAGAGCGTCGGTCTGCGGACTGAAAGGTCCCGGGTTCGATTCCGGTCAAGGGTATGTATTATACATTGGTTGCGGGCACATCCCCGGTAGGGGGTGTGCAAGAGGCAGCTGGTCGATGTTTCGCTCTCATCGACGTTTCTAGCTCTCTATCTCTCTCTCCCTTCCTCTCTGTAAAAAATCAATAAAATATATTTTAAAAAAAATATTGTGTTTTCATTCGTCTGGATGTATACCCGGAAATGGGGTTGCCAGTCCACATGGGAGTGCAGTCTTTGATGTGCGAAGGGTCTCCATGCTGCTCCCCACACCAGTTTCCACTCCCACCAGCAGCTCACAAGGCTCCCTTTTCTTCACATCCTCGACGACACTTGTTAGCTCTCGTCTTTTTTATGAAGTCTTTTAACAGGTTATAGCTCAGTGTGGTTTTGATTGGCGTTCCCCTGAGGCCAGGCACCTTTTATTTGGCAAATCTCTGTTCAGTTCCTTTGCTCATTTTTAAATCAGACTGTTTGCTGTTTTGCTATCAAGTTCTTTACATCTTTGGGATATTAACCTCTTACCAGAGAGAGCATTGGCAAGTATTTTCTCTCATTCTAGAGGTGACCTTTTCATTTTGCTGATTCTTTTGCTGTGCAGAAGCTGTTTGGTTTGGTGTAATTTAGTCATCGGCAAACTGCGGCTCTCGAGCCACAGTTTGTGACTGTATTGACTAATGAGTTTGCCGACCACTGATCTAGACTCTCGATTCCAATAATGACAGGCTGTTGTTGTTCCTTGTGATTAAGCCCCTACCCCAGTGATCCACAAACTCATGTGTCAACAGAGCGGCAAATTGCGGCTGGCAAGCCACATGTGGCTCGCGAGCCGCAGTATGCCAACCACTGGTGTAGTCCCACTCATTAGTTTTTGCTTTTGTTGCTTGTGCTTTTGGGTTATAGTCACAAAATTGTTGCCCAAACCAATGTCAAGAGGCCCCCCCACCCCCATGTTTCCTTTAAGGAGTTTTTGGTTTCATGTCCTATGTTTAGGACTTTAATTTCCCCCTCCTCCTTATTTTTTTTTTGGCCTAAGTGTATATATTTTACCGGGGCAAAGGGATACTTGTGGGTGAACTCATGCAACACACACCATGCAGTTGCATCACTTAGAGTCATTTGCAGGGACAGGGGGTGGGTCAGACTCCTCCTCCTGCTACTTGCGCACCCACCTCTGCCAGAAGGAGCGGGCAGCCAGCATGGACTCTGCCACGCCGGAGGCTTTTTTCTAAAAAAAAAAAAAAAAAAAAAAAAAAAAATATATATATATATATATATATATATATATATATATATATATATATATAAATATTTATTTCAGAGAGGAAGGAAGAGGGAGAGAGAGATAGAAACATCAATGATGAGAGAGAATCACCACTTGGCTGCCTCCTTCACACCCCTTCCTGGGGATCGAGCTCACACCTGGAGCACGTGCCCTTGACTATAATCAAACCTGAGACCCCTTCAGTCCGAAGGCCGATGCTCTATGTACTGAGCCAAACCGGCTAGGGCAGCCCCAGAGGCTTTTTTTTTGACAGCTGCCCCCAGCATGGCTGCCTGGCTCCATCTGCCATGGGTGTCAACTCCTACGTGAGATCTTTATTCAGAGACCTACGAGGTCCTTTGGAGAAAACCCACACTCCCAAAAGAACCTGAGTTCATTTCAGTAAAAAATGGGGTGCAAGCCGCCCAGCCGAGCCCCCAGGGAATGGCAGCGCCTCACTACTGCTGACTCCGGTGCCCCTCCCTCCCATTCGCCCCAGTGGCCACCCCTCACTCAACCCTACAGCGACGGCGGCGGCGGGAAGACCACTGCCCCCCATTCCTACCCTAACCTGCCCCGCTTCACCCCGACACCCCGCGGGACAGGGCCAAGCCCTCAGCCCTTGGCTCAGACGTCCGGGGTCTGCTGTCTGATTGCTGTTTGCGGTCCCCGAGGTAGCGCCCCACCTCTGCGCTCTGGTGCCGCGTCCCGGGAAGTGAGGCAGGAAGCCCCTAGGACAGACCGGACGGACCGCTGTTCCGGCGGGCGGGGCGCAGACGGGGGGCCCCCCCGAGGGCGCGGCGGACCCGTCCCCTCCCCCTCCCGCCCCGCCCGCCGAGCCGCGATCCCGGGGCGGACGGAGCCAGGGACTGGGGACGGCGGGCGGCGGTGGCCGGGCCGGGGCGGGGCGGGCCCGCCGGGACCGGCCTCCCCGGCCGGGGCGCCCGCAACCAATGGGGCGCCCGGGGCCCGGGGCGCGGCGCGGGGATTGGCGCGCGGGGCGGGCGGGGCGGGCGGCGCGTTATAAGCAGGAAAGTTCCGCTCGGAGGGCAGAGCCGCGCGCTCCTCCGGGGTTGGCATCGCCGGGCGCGGCCGCGGGGGGATCGGGGAGCCGGTGGCGAGGGCAGGAGCCCGGAGAGGCCCCCTCGCTCGCCTGGGTGTCCTGCGGGGACTTCGGGGGGACCCAGCGCCCCAGGGCTTTTGCGCGCAGCCATGGGCGGTGTCGGGGAGCCCGGCGGGGGGCCGGAGGCGCACGGGGGGCCGGCGCTGCGTGGGGGGCCGCTGCCCGCCTTCCGCTGGGAGCAGATCCGCCCGCACGACCTGCCGGGCGACAAGTGGCTGGTGATCGAGCGCCGCGTCTACGACATCAGCCGCTGGGCGCAGCGGCACCCGGGGGGCAGCCGCCTCATCGGCCACCACGGCGCCGAGGACGCCACGGTAAGGGGCCGCCGGCGCGGGAGGGAGCCCGGGCGCCCGGGGCCGGATCCTGGGCACGGCGCCCCGCTTCGCCTGCGGGGGGGGGGCGGGCTTAGCGCCCTCCCCTAGCTGACCTCTGACCTCCTGGCCCGGGACCCTGACTTGGGATGGGCTGGCCAGGGCCTCCTGTGGAGGAAGCGGGCCACATCCCTGCTGGGAGGACGCACCTCGGGCCGTGGGCCGGGGTCGGAGCTGGGTGGAGGGGGGCTCTCAGAGGTGGGTGTGTCATGACCGAAAGAGCTCCCCACACACACCTCTAAGATTTCTCCTCTCAGTTCTGGGGTCTCCCCCCCCCCCCAATCCTCCCCTAGCCAGGTCCCTCACGCTGGGTGCCAAGGGCAGGGCCGGGACCCTGGGGGCTGGGCGAGGATGTTCCATCGGAGCTGGGGGCTGGGCGGCAGAGGCCGGGCCCAAAGGTATGCGGCTTGCCCAAGAGCCGCGGTGAATGTCAGAGGGTCAGTGACTCACCTCTCCAGGGCTGGCAGCTGCCGTGGGAGCACTCTGCCAGCCGGGCTGGGTGGGCCTCCTCGGGAAGCACAGTCACCCCTGGCTCAGGCTGGCTCCCGGGACCCCGGCTTCCCCTTCCCAGCCCGTGTCTAGACTTGCCGGCCGTGAGGGGTGTGGCCTGGTCCAGGGGGACCATCTGGCTGGAGCGCAGCGGCAGAGCAGCCAACTAGGGCTTCTCACGCCGGTTCCCGGGCTCCCCATGGGGGCACGGGAGCCGGGCGTGCCCTTCTGTCCTTGGCCTTGGGAGGGACCAGATTCCAGGGGATGAGCCCTGTCCAAACTTTAGGCAGCAAAGGGAGCGTGTCCCGTCCCAGGAGGGCCGGCCACCTGCTCTCTGCCCACCGCCTCCCGCCTCCCGCCTCCTGCCCAGTCTTACCGGGACTCTAGAGCAGTGCTTCCCAGCCTCTCATCGCCCAGCTCACGAGCTGTCACAATTCTGTGACCACACACCAGAAATGATAGTGTTCTCCTCTGGCCACACACACACACACACGTATAATTTTGATTCATTCACACCGGACAACTACTGTGCTACCTATTGTCATTTTTTAAAAATTTGACAATCGAAGGCAAAGAGGTCAGTGCCCCTGTCTAGTCAGGTATTGCATGTTTTTTTTTTTTTTTTTTTTATTATTATTATTTAATTCTCACCCAAGGATATTTTTCCATTGATTTTTAGAGAGAGTGTGAAAGAGAGGGAAAGACAGAGAGAGACATGGAGGTGAGAGAAACACATTGATTGGTTGCCTCCTGCACCTGCCCCAACCAGGGCCCCGGGCTAGGGAAGAGCCTGCAACCAAGATGGGAACCCGGGACCTTCAGTCAGCAGGCCGACGCTCTATCCACTGAGCCAAACCGGCGGGGGCAGATATTGCAAAGTTTAAACATTCTTCAGCGCACGGTGTTCCTACCGGGGCACCCCATTTGGAAAGGCTGTTTCTAAAGGAAAGAGGGCCTCTTTCCCCACTTCCACCTCAGGAGGCTGAGGGGTGAGGGTCCGAAGCCCCCCAAACCTCCAGAAACGGACAGAAAGCCTTGTCCTTGGGCCGAGAGGCCGGGTGGTGGCCACGGAGGTGAAGCTGACCATGGCCAGTAAGTGTGTGACCGTGTGCAGACCCGCATGTGTGAGAACGCTGTGCGTGTGTGTGCACCTCTGTTAAGGTCTGGGGGTACCAGGTGCCACAGCCCGCCCCTCTCAGCCTGGCTGGGCCCTGGTGCCCCTCACAGACCCCGTGGAAGTGCGTGCTGACCTTTTCCAAACTCTGGTCTGTAGGGCAGGAGGAGGGAGGCGAGAAGTCGACAGAAAGCCTTCAGGAACTGCGTGTTCCTCCTTGCTGCCCAGACCCGTGCTAGGGACCCTCCCATGCAGTGTGGGGACCCCCCATGCAATGTGGGACCCTATCACACAGTTAGCCCTAGACCCCGAGACCTCCATCAGATGGTTTTCTTACCGATTCATCACCAATGAAGTCTGTTTTTTGTTTCAGAAAAAAAAAAAAAAAATATATATATATATATATATATATATATATATATATTCCCAGGCATGTCATTCCTCTGAGCCTCAGTTTCCTTATCTGTAAAATGGGGAGAGCGGGGCCAGACAGCAAGCAGCTGAGGGCAGGACTGGGCCTTTGCAGCTCCGTGGCCACAGGGCGGCCACGTCATTGCTCCTGGTCGGTATCTGCCTGATGAGTGTGTGTGCCCTGATGAGTGCGTGGTGCGTGGGGACAGCCATGGCATAGCCACTCCTTGCTGGGTGACCGTGTCTGGTCCTGCCACGTCTGTCACAGGAAAGAGCCACCTCTTAGCTTCCTCAAGGCCCCAAACGCTGGGTGGGAATGGCCAGGAACACCTGGTCTGTTCAGGCCAAAAGGGTTATGAGGTGGCTGAGGTTGGGGACCCCCATCTTTGTCCATACGGCCCCACCAGACACACCTGGAATTGGACCAGCCCAGTGGCTGCCCTGCGGGATCTAGCCCAGACCCCAGATTTCGGATCTCAGGTCCGGGAGACCAGGTGGGGGTGGGGCAGCTGTCCTGCCAGGGCCGTCCATCAGCTGTGCTCATGTCCAGGCAACAGAGGCCTTCCTGCCAGGAAATTTCCAGAGTTCCTGGGCCATTAAGTCAGCCTGTGGCCGCCCTGGGATCCAGAGCAGCACCCCGGGGAGAAGCTCCGGGCTCGGGGCCAGGTTTGTCTAAGAGTCATAGGCGCCTGCAGGGAGTGGAACCAGCGGGAGAGGCAAGTGCTGGCTGTTGCCAAAGAGGCTGCGTCCTCTCCCCAGAGCTGCCGGGACTCCACGGCCAGGGTGTGCCTGGGCTGGGCACCCACTGTGGCCCTGAAGCCAGGTTTATAGTTACTCTCCCTTTCACCCCACGTCCTGTTGTATCATTCCCGCTTTACGGACGAGGAAGCAGGGGCTCAGCTCAGCCAGGCAAAGTGACTCAAAATTAAAAGTTAGATCTGTGGCGGGGCTCAGGGGTTGAGCATCGACCTATGAACCAGGAGGTCAGGGTTTGATTCTCAGTCAGGCACACGCCTGGGTTGTGGGCCTGACCCCCAGTGTGGAGCATGCAGGAGGCACCCGATCCATGATTCTCTCTCTTCATTGCTGTTTCTCTCGCTCCCTCTCCCTTCCTCTCTGACATACACACACACACACATTGAGTGACTGGATTATTATGATCTCTGAAGGCATAATAATGTGTGTGTGTGTGTGTGTGTGTTACAGGCCCAGTGCATGAATTCGATCCTAGGTAGGGCCCAGCCAGCTTGGCCAGGGGAAGGGGACATGGGTTTGCCTGCTGGTCAAACTCCTGGTCAAGGGGACAATTTGTATGTTAGCCTTTTATTATATAAGATATACACTGAGTGGTCAGATTATTATGCACTCAGAGAGCATATATATATATATATATATATATATATTTTTTTTTTTTTTTAAATTTGATTTTTTTAAAAAGTCAGGTCTGAGCCAGGACCGGTTTGGCTCAGTGAATAGAGCGTCGGCCTGCGGACTGAAAGGTCCCGGGTTCGATTCCGGTCAAGGGCATGTACCTTGGTTGCGGGCACATCCCCAGTGGGGGGTGTGCAAGAGGCAGCTGGTTGATGTTTCTCTCTCATCGACGTTTCTAATACTCTCTGTCCCTCTCAATTCCTCTCTGTGTAAAATCAATAAAAAATATATTAAAAAAAAAAAAAAGTCAGGTCTGGGATTTGAACCCACAGCACATGCTCTTTGCCACATGCTACACTGGACTTAGCTGTTGATTCCGTTTGCTCGCTCACTCGCTCACTGGTTTTCATGTTGAGTTGCGGTGCCATCAGCAGACAGCCAGGGAGCACATCCTCGTGTCTGTCCTCACCGAGGAGACGGCTGTGGAAACCGCCAGGAGGGAGCCCCTGGGCAGGCGGACCGGCTGGAGCCGGGCCCCGGGAGGACCTGCTCTGCGTCCAAGACCAGCGGGCGGTCTGCGGGGCTGGTGTGGAGCTGGGCGGTGGGGCCAAGGGTAAAAGCAGAGCCTTGCAGGGCATAGCAGGGAAGCCGGGGGGCTCTGACACATCTGAAATGACCCCTCATGGGGAGGGGAGGCAGAGCTGCCCAGGAAAGGGCAGGTGTGGCCAGAGCAGGGCAGAGGCAGGTAGTAGTGTCAGCCCATTTTGCAGATGGGGAGACTGAGGCTGACTCTGGGTGATGGAAAAGCACCTTCTCGGGGCCCTTGAACAGCAGGGCCTCCCTCCTTGGGCTTGGAGGGTGGGGCTGTGTCTGGTGGGGTTCGGGGAGAGGCAGGGCCCATCCTGAGGCTCCAGTGCGGGTGGGGGCAATGGGGACCGGCCATGACCACGGAGGACCTGGCTCCGGAGCTCACACTCTGCTCCCGCCCACCACGCTGGCTGCTGGGAACACCTTGCTGCCTGGTGACCTGTGACCTCTTGGGCTCTGTGGGTGCTTTTTGCATCCCCAGCCCCCAGCCCCTTTCCCGGGGCGCAGCGTGCAGAGCAGGATGCTGGCAGTCCTCCGCGTGTCTTCCCAGGGGTCCCCACGCTGCCATGGCGTCTCACGGAGCAGCCGAGCAGGGCCAGAGCCACGTGGCGGAGCGAGGACCAGCAGCCAGAGTGCCTGCCCCGAGGGGTCACCACTGGGCCAGGGGCACGTGAGGCTGAGCTGGCAGAGCTGGGACACTGGGCGGCTGCTGGGGGCTCTGTCCTTGAGCTTGGATTTGCCATGTATCCAGCTGGGTGCCCTGAGGCCTCTTGTGCCTCGGTTTTCACATCTGTGAAATGGGGATACTGATGGCGCTCACCTGTTGGCTGCCTGGGAGGCGTGCCAGGGAGAGGCCGGAAGGGGAGCCTGAGTGCTGGGCATGCGCTCCTGTGCTGTCCTCACCCGGGAGAGGGGGGAGGGAGGGAAGGAGGGCGGGAGGAAATGAGGGAGGGAAGGAAGGAGGTAGGTCTCCCCTCACCCCCATCTCCATAGCCACTGCCTCCTCAGCAAAGGCTTAAGGCGCAGGCCCAGATCACCCCCTGCCTGCCCCACCCTCTTTCTTTCTTTTTTAAAATTTTTTGTTACCTGAGGATATTTTTCCATTGATTTTTAGAAAGAGTGGAAGGGAGAGATAGAGACAGAGAGAAACATCAATGTGAGAGAGACACATTGATTGGCTGCCCCCCCGCACGGGCTGGGGATGGAGCCTGTGACCGAGGTTTGTGCCCTTGACTGGAACTGAACCTGGGACCCTAATGCTCTATCCACTGAGCCAAACTGGCCGGGGCTGGAATATTCCAAATCTTTGGAGCCTGGCCAGAAATGGTCCCTTGCTCCTGCTGTGTCTCTGGGTGGAGGTGTGTCCCCTCAATTCGCCCGGGACCTGACCACATGCCACCCTGCGCCCACCTTCTCGGCTCCCCATCGGAGGGACTCAGGGCAGGCCGCAGCGGCCCCGGGCAGCGCCAGGCCCCTCTGAGTGCTCCACCTGCTGGCTGCGTCCTCCCACAGAGGGACATTGGGTTCCTGATGAGAAACCGAGTGGAGGGGTGATGCTGGTGACCCCAAGCCCCGCTCAGAGTGGCGGCTCACATTCCCTGCCCGGCAGGCCTGCCCAGCGCCCCCCCACTCCCGCCCTCAGCCGGGCGGAGCCACTCCCAGGGACCCAGGGGCCGAGGCGGGGCTGGGGAGCTGTGCTGGGAGGGCATGGGCATTGCAGAGGACCTGGGTTTCAGCCCAGCTCTGCCCTGCAGGCTGCCCTCGGCTCCCAGCACCCGGCCTCCGTTCCTCACCCGCCCCGGGCGGTGCAGGGTCCACTCTTGTCCATGTCCCACACCTGCTCCCGGCCCCTGCCCCCTGCCCGGCCCCCAGCCCTACCTGGCCCCGCCCCCTACCCAGCCCCCAGCCATACCTGATCCCTGTCCCTACCGGGCCCCCGCCCCTACCCGGCCCCCAGCCCTACCTGGCCCCTGCCCCCTACCTGGTCCCTGCCCCCTGCCCTGCCCCAAGCCCTACCTGGCCCCTGCCCCCTACCCAGCCCCCGCCCCTATCCGGCCCCCGCCCCGGGCAGCGCTGTGAGCAGAGCCCGGCCTGCCGCCGGCAGCAGTGTGGAGGGACACAGTGCTACCCCCAGCTTTGCCCCAAGACTCAGGGAGAGACCTGGAGTGCCACCTCCGGCTCGCCAGGTGGGAGGGGGTCCTGGGTTTGCACACGTCCCTGGAAGGACAGCTCTGAGCGCCCCAGAGCGGACGACGGGTGCCCCGCTGCTTCCTGCAACGTGGCCAGAGTGGCCAAGAGACGCCAGCACCCCACCCTCGTTCCCCCAGCCGTCCCAGGGCAGCGGGTCCTCGCTGGTGGGACGGCGACCAGCCTCATGGTGAGGGCTCCCCCCAACAGACACACACACACACACACACACACACACACACACCTTGTAGGGCTGCTGAGTGGCCACAAGCACTCTGTCCAGTCGGAGGGTTCTGAGCCGGCCACCATGGAAGGGAGCGGACAGCAGCTCAGCCTCGCTGCGGCGGTCCTTAGGCAGCGGCCGGGGACGGGATCACAGAGGGGACAGGCTCCAGGGAAGCAAGCAGTTTGCTTGCGAGTCAAGATGTGGTCTGGGCCAGGGACCCACCTCGCTGGCAGCACAGACAGGGGGCGCCCCACCCATACCGCCCTGCTCTCCAAGGACCTGCTGCACCTCTGTGCATGTGCCTCTGCGTGTGCCCCTGTGTGCGTGTGCCCCTGTGTGTGTGTCCCTGTGTGTGCCCCTGTGCATATGCCTCTATGTGTGAGTCCCCCTGTGTGTGCCCTTGTTTGTGTGCTCTTGTGTGTGTGCCCCTGTGTGTGTGCCCCTGTGTGTGACCCTGTGTGTGCCCCTGTGTGTGTGTGCCCCTGTGCGTGAGCCCCTGTGTGTGTGCCCTTGTGTGTGCTCCTGTGTGTGTGCCCCTGTGTGTGCCCCTGTGCATGTGCCTCTATGTGTGTGTCCCCCTGTGTGTGCCCTTGTGTGTGTCCCCCTGTGTGTATACCCTTGTGCGTGTGCCCTTGTGTGTGTGCCCCTGTGTGTCCCTCTGTGTGTGTGCCCCTGTGTGTGCCCCTATGCATATGCCCCTATGTGTGTGCCTCTGTTTGTGTGTGCCCCTGTGTGTGCGCCCCTATGCGTGTGCCCCTGTGTGTGTCCCTCTGTGTGTGTGCGCCCCTGTGCGTGTGCCCCTGTGCATGTGCCCCTTGTGTGTGCCCCTGTGTGTGCCCCTATATGTGTGCCTCTGTGTGTGTGTGTGTCCCTCTGTGTATGTACGCCTCTGTGTGTGTGCCCCTGTGTGTGCCCCGGTGCGTGCACCCCTGTGTGTGTGCCCCTGTGTGTGTGCCCCTGTGCGTGTGCCCCTGTGTGTGTGCCCCTGTGCGTGTGCCCCTGTGTGTGTGCCCCTGTGTGCGCCCCTGTGCATGTGTGTGCCCCTGTGTGTGTGGCCCTGTGTGTGCCCCTGTGCATGTGCCCTGTGCGTATTCCTGTGCATGTGCCTCTGTGCGCTGCCAGGGGAGGTTCAGAGGGAATCGGAGTCAGCGCTCATGGGCCTTAGAAAGGAAGGACGTTCTGACACGTGACAGCAGATGAGCCTCTCGGGCAGGATGCTGAGTGACAGCCAGTCACAAAGGGACAGACGCTGCACCATTCTCCTCCATGAGGTCCCGGACCCTCACAGTCATGGGGACGGAACGCAGAACTGCCGGGCCGTGGTCAGTGGGAGCGCCGAGTTCAGGACAGGAGAAAGCCCGGGGCGGGGCGGTGATGGCTGCCCGCGAAGTGAATACGCGTGGTGCCTGCCTGCATCTGGGGATCGGTGACCGGTGCACGTGCGTGGCTCTGCTGGGTGACAGGTTAAAGCCGGGGCTCGGGGTGGAGGTCATCCTGTGCACTGGAGGGTGCGTGCGGGCGGCAGCTGATCAGTGTTTCTCTCCATCTCCCTCTCCCCGCCTCTCTAAAACCAATAAGAACATAGGTATTTCCGTAATTAAGGAAAACAACCTCAGCGGTCCGGAGCCAGATAGCCTGGGGTCCTGCCCCTGGATTTGCCTAGTTCCAGGCAGAACGGACACACTCGAGGTCACAAAGAGGGTCCGCCGAGCCCCTCCCTGCCCCCTCCAGCTGGGCAGGTCCTGGCAGCTTCCGGGGGACCAGCCTCCCTCCTACTCTCCCTCCCAGCCGTGTGCCCCTCCGTCAGGGTTCCTCCAGGAGAGGGCCTGCACCCCGCAGTGTACACAGCCGCCTCTTCCCTCCCCGCGGGCCTCGCTTATTCCATAAGCTTCACCTTCCCAGCTCCCTTCTCTACCCCTCACCCCCCACACGCCTCCCTCCCAGGCTTCCCGGGCCAGTGAGAGAGCAGGAGTGGCCCCTGAGGACCCGGGAGGGGGATTGAGGGAGGTGGGGTTCCCCAGCTGCTCCCCCCGCAGGACGGCAGGACGCCTGGCAGTGAGGACAGGCCCGGCTGCCACTTCTGTTTAACTCACCAGCAGCTGGAGGCTCGCTATGAGAGGACAGGGGCCGCCCCTGTCCAGTCCCCTTCCTCAGCGGCGCCTCTGTCAGCAGCCCAGTCACCTACCGGGGCCCGAGGGACAGCACCGCCGGTCCCTGCCTCAGCTCGGCGGCGGGGGCTGTGGCCGGCTCCTCCGCCTCTGAGCGCCCCGAGGTGACAGCAGCTGAGCTGTGAGGGGCAGTGAGCCCCTGGCACCAAGGCCAGAGCGGGAAGGCTGAGGGGCCCGGGGGTGCCCGGCAAGGTCACCGCACTCAGCATGCCCAGGCCCCTCCCCGGCCAGTGTCTGGCCCGTTATCTGTCTCTCCCTCCGATCCCCGCGCCTGCACTGCTCCCACCTGCCCTGCTCTTCCCAGTGGAGGTCAGACTTACTTCATTTCCTTTTTGAAAGGCCTGGTTTCTGCTCCGGCTTTTAAAACCTAACGGGTTTGACTGCTGAGTGTCCTCCCTGCAAACCCCCGAGAACTCAGCCTGCCTGGCCCTCCGCGAGAGCCCCGCCCCTCCCCTCCCCCGCGGCCAAACGGGACGCCCGTGACCCAGACCTTATTTTCGACGCCGCAGAAAAGCATGTGACTTCCAGAAAGCTTCCCAGAGATTTTTTTTTTTTTTTAAGTTGTAAACGATCATAAAAGGAATCATGAGGCTTTCAAGGAGACCTCCTCCAAACCCTGAGATGTGTGCACCAGCAGGTGGGAAGAAGGCTGCACGCGGCCCGAGCAGCCGGGCCTGGCTGGCAGGGCCCCGGGGCCGGAGAGGACCAGGCGGCTCCCGGGCGAGGCTGACCCCTGTGCGGGCTAGTCCTGTGGCCACGGAACGGCCAGCGGAATCCGCCCGTCTGTCTGTCTGCTGTGCCCCCCCGTCAGCCGCCCTCCAGCTCGCTGGCGGCCTCCGGGCGCTGCTCTGCAGTCCGTCTGCCCGTCTGTCCGCCCACCTGACTGTCTGCTCTCCCTCAGGACGCCTTCCGTGCCTTCCACCAGGACCTCAGCTTTGTGCGCAAGTTCCTGCAGCCCCTGCTGATCGGAGAGCTGGCCCCCGAGGAGCCCAGCCAGGACGGAGCCCAGAACGTGAGCAGGGGCTGGTGGAGGCTGAGCCTTCGGGGGGTGTGGGGGGCACGGCCATAGCAGCTGGTCCCAAGGGGACCAGGGCCACGGTGTCTGCCGGCCCCTCCTCGGCAGGCAGGTGAGGGTGAGCTGCAGGAGCCCTCCCTGCTCTGGGCCTGGCATCCCCGTCTACAAGGAGCCTTTGGATGAGCTGAGCTTGGAGGGCGCAGCCCACTCCGGCTGTTCCTGCTGCTCCCAGACGCCCACTCTTTGCAGGGGGGGCCTTTGCCTCCAGATAGCAATCCAGGCCACACCCCAAGCCCGGAGCCCCTGTCTCTCTGACCCCTTCGGCCACACCCCTGGGGCCTGGCAGGGGCAGAGTGGCTGCGGGGCACTTCTGGGGGCAGCCGGGACTTGGCTTCCCCCCCCTGACCGGCCGCTCGCCGCGCAGGCCCAGCTGGTGGAGGACTTCCGCGCCCTGCGCCAGGCGGCCGAGGACATGAGGCTGTTTGAGGCCCAGCCCTCCTTCTTCGCACTCCTGCTGGCCCACATCCTGGCCCTGGAGCTGCTGGCCTGGCTCATCGTCTACCTCCTGGGCCCCGGCTGGCTGCCCAGCACCCTCACCGCCCTCATCCTCACCGTCTCCCAGGTGACCGCCAGGTGCCCCGCCCTCTTGCAGCCCCCGACCTGCCCAGCGGACACACGTGGACGTTCCGGACTCATTTGCTGAATGAATGAATGAATGAATGAATGGACGAGTGAATGAATGAACGACCGAGCAGAGACTCCATAGGTGTGTATCTGAGGGTCAAGCTGCATTTTATTTAACTAATAAATGAATTACTTTAAGCCTCACCTGAGGACCTTTTCCGCTGGGTTTCTAGAGTGGAAGGGGGGAGGGGAGGCGGGAAGAGCAGGGGAGAGAGAGAAGTGTCTACCTGAGAGGGACACATCGATGGGTTGCCTCCCGCATACTCCCCCCCCCTGGGGCTGGGCAACCTGCCTCCAAGGGATGAGGTACGTGACCTTGACCGGGGAATCAAACCAGCGACCCTTGGGCCGACGCTCTAACCCCAGAGCCTGCGGCCAGGCCTCCAGCTGCATTTGCAACGAGCTGAGGAAGCGCCTTCCTTAGCCCTGAGCGAGCACAGGGCAGGGAGCCAGAGGGCGCTACCCGGGCTCCATGACGTGCGGGCCCCAGCCCGCCGGGAACTCCGTGTGCTGTGCAAAGAGGAAGTTGGCAGACCGGGTCCTAAAAGGGACGGGTCGCTGTGGGTGTGCCCCGTGAGCTGGGGGCTCACTGGGACTCCAGGGCTGGGCCCCCCAGGCAGCCAGCACCCTCTCCCATGGCCGGAGTCAGGGGCCAGGGTCCCTGAGCCTGCCCTTGTCCCCAGGCCCAGAGCTGGTATCTGCAGCACGACCTGGGTCACACGTCTGTCTTCCGGAGGCCCCGGTGGAACCACGTGGCCCAGCAGTTTGTGATGGGACAGCTCAAGGTGAGAGCGGGCACGTGGCGGGCAAGCAAGGGCTGAGCCGGGGTGCCCAGCGCTCGGGCACGCACGGGTGGTGGGCGTGGCCGGCCCCCCTGAGCCCCGTCTCCCCGCAGGGCTTCTCCGCCCACTGGTGGAACTTCCGCCACTTCCAGCACCACGCCAAGCCCAACGTGTCCCACAAGGACCCCGATGTGACCTTGGCCCCCATCTTCCTCCTGGGGGAGTCGTCCGTCGAGGTTCGTGGGGAGGGCGTGGGCCCCACTGGCTGGGCCTCCCGGCGGAGGGGGGCCGGGCCCTGACCGAGCCCCCACTCTAGTTCCAGGCTGAGCCCCTAGCCCAGAGGTGCCCCTCCCCACCGCCCAGCCTGCTGTGACGAGGGGCGTGGTTGCTAGAATCTAGAGTTGTCGTTGCAAGGGAGGGGGCCCCGGTCGGCCCCCTGCCCCTGCCCGGGAGGAGGGGGCCCCGGAGAGCGCCCCCCCAGCCGCCACCTGTCTCCACAGTACGGCAGGAAGAAGCGCCGATACCTGCCCTACAACCACCAGCACCTGTACTTCTTCCTCAGTGAGTCCCTGCCCCCCCCCGCGGGGGCACGGTGGGGGCACGGCGGGGGGCACGCCGGAGCCTGCACTGTCCGCTTGTGCCCGCTGGGCAGTGCCGGCCGCCCCTCGGGGAAGGGGCACCTGTCAACCATCCTCCTCACCGCGCCTCCCAGCCCCTGCTCTGCCACCCCTGCCCGCAGCCTGAGCCGACCGCCCCATTGCCACGCCGGCCCCTCCTGGGGCGCCCCCTGCCAGCGGTCATCACAGCCCTGCCCAGAGCCCTAGAGGGTCAGAGAATTGTTGGGGTGCCCAGGGTTAGGATTCACGGATGTGGCCCCGTAGGCTGGCCCCCGCCTGCAGGGGGCACGGAGGCGGTGAGGCAAGGGGCTGCCTGAGGCGGCTTGGCCGCGGAGGGGAGAGCGGGGACCAGGCCTTGGGGGTGATGGGGCCGTCCCTGGCTGGGCCCAGCATCCAGGCCCGGTCTGAGCCTCTCTCTGTCCTTGCAGTCGGCCCGCCGCTGCTCACGCTGGTGAACTTCGAGGTGGAGAACCTGGCCTACATGCTGGTGTGCCTGCAGTGGCAGGTGAGTGCGGGAGGGGGCGCTGGGAGCGGGGCGTGGGGCTGGGGGCGGGGGTTCTCCCGGGGGTGGGGATCCCCCCCGGGATGACTCCACCCAGCAAGTGTCTCCCAGGCAGGGGTTCCCCACCCCAGCCTCTGCTGGCACCCTCACTTCCGTGCTCACTGGGCCGGGCAAGGCCCTCCCCACCCCCACCCCCCACCCCCGGCTGTGAGGAGCAGTGTCCTGCCCAGGGCTCCGAGGCACCTCCAGCAGGAAGGGGGTGACCGCGGCGGCCCCCGCCGGCTGCTTGGCGACCTCTGCCCTCCGCTCTCCCAGGACCTGCTCTGGGCTGCAAGCTTCTACTGCCGCTTCTTCTGGTCCTACGTCCCCTTCTACAGCGTGTCCGGGGCCCTGCTGCTGTTCGTGGCGGTCAGGTACGGGGCACACGCCGGCCGCGGGCCGGCCACAGCCCTCGCCCTCGGAGCCTCCCCGTGCCCGTCTGCGGGACGGCCAGCAGGACAGCCTCCTGGGCATGGGAGACCTGAGGGACAGGAGGGGCGGGCTGCGCGGGACATGGGTCCGGGGGACGCGGCTCAGCCCCCACGGAGCCTGCTCCTCGCAGCCGCTCCACGCGCCCGCGGGGGGGGGGGTGCCGCAGCCCACCGTACAGAGGAGGAAGCTGAGGCAGCGCTGAGCCTTCCCCGCAGGGTCCTGGAGAGCCACTGGTTCGTGTGGGTCACGCAGATGAACCACATCCCCAAGGAGATTGGCCACGAGAAGCACCGGGACTGGGCCAGCTCGCAGGTGGGCAGCGGGGTGGGGGGTGGGGTGGGGGCGGGGTCAGAGCTGAGAGGGAAGAGGTGGCCCCGTGCCCGCCTCCCTCACCTGAGCCCCCGCCCGCCCCCCAGCTGGCGGCCACCTGCAACGTGGAGTCCTCGCCCTTCATCGACTGGTTCAGCGGGCACCTCAACTTCCAGATCGAGCACCAGTGAGTGCGGCCCGGGCCCCGGGTGGGCGTGCGTCCTCCCACGGCTCCCTAGGGCCGGGGAGGGTGTGAGCAGGGCCGGGGGGCGGAGGGGGGGCGGGAGGAGGAGGGGGAATGGGTGGTGGTCCCTCTGGCACCCTCTCCTCCAGTGCCAACATGTGCCTTCCCCCCCAGCCTCTTTCCCACAATGCCCCGGCACAACTACCACCGGATGGCGCCGCTGGTGAGGGCGCTGTGCGCCAAGCACGGCCTCGCCTACGAGGTGAAGCCCTTCCTCACCGCCCTGGTGGACATCGTCAGGTGCGGCTCCTGGTGGCTCCCGAGCCCTGCCCCCGTCCCTCCTGCCCGCTCTGAGCCCCCAGCCCCCCACGGAGCTGGCCGGGAGGCTGGGCCCAGCAGCCTCTCTGTCCCCGGCCCTTGGCCTCCCTCCCCAGCCTTCACGCGCGCGGGCCCCCTGCCCTGGGCCCAGGCCCCAGGCCCCGTCCGAGGTGCCACCAGGGCTCTGGACCCCTGCCTCCTAGGCCTGGCATCCTCGCAGGGCTCGCAGAAAGCAAGCGCCTAAAATAAGGAAGTGACAGAAAACACGAAACTGCAGAACCTACGGATGGAGGCCGGAGGGGCGGGTGGGGAGCGCTGGGCAGGGGCCACAGTGGCCGGTGGCGGGCAGGGGCGGGCACTGAGGTGACGAGGGAGCAGACAGGCTGGGGGGAAGAGGGCTGGCCATGGAGACGTGTGGGGAAGAACATTCTGGGCAGGGAAAGCAGTGCAAAAACCCGAGCAGGTGCTGGTGTGTGGGCGCCGCTGAGCGGGAACTGGGGGGTGGGGGGGTGTGACCCGCAGGAATTGGGTTCTGGGAAGATGCCCTGGCTGTGAGAATGCGCAGGAGGGGGGAGAGCGGAAGCAGACAGAGCGGGTGGGCCCCTGCGGCAGTCCCCGGCAGCGAGGGACGGTGGACCGGGCGGCGGGAGCCTGGGCAGTGGGGAGCGGGCCGGACCCCCCAGCCAGAGCCCTCCCACCTGTGCCCTGACCCACGCGGTCCCCTGTGCTCAGCTGCCCTCCCTCCATCCGGTGTTGGGACTCTGCTTCTCCTTCACGGCCTCTCCCAGCCTCTGGCCCGGCCACACAGGAGGCAACAGGAGAGCAGGGGAAGGAGGGACACGCCCACCCTGGCTCCTGCCTGGCCTTGGCCTTGGCCTTGGCTCCTCCCCTCCCCCTGCTCCAGTTCCTGAGAGGGTGGCCTCACTTCTCAGTCCACCCCTCCACCCTCACCCAGCAGCCTGCCCCAGACAGGAGGGGAAGGGGGGCTGGAGACACCTCTGAGCATACTCATCCTCCTGGGAGAGGGGTTGTATCTTGCAGTTGAGTCCCCAACACCCACCCCACCCCACCCCTGCCTCGCAGGTCCCTGAAGAAGTCTGGCAACCTCTGGCTGAAAGCCTACCTCCAGCAGTGAAGGTGGCACCCAGGGCGCTCCGCGCCAGTGGGCAGGCTCTGCCCCGCCACCTCCTGGCCCTGCCACCTTCCCTCCGCCCTCTCGCAGCCCTAAGACCACAACTCTGGGCCCTACAGGACAGGGCGAGGGGGATGGGACATGAAGCCACAAGGTGAGCATGGGACGTTTTCCTGGAGCAAAAGTTTAGGCGACCTGTTATTTTTATATAAAGACAACCCCAGATCTACGACGGAATAAAGTATTGAACTTGCATGAATTTTGGAGCTGGATTCCGCCGAGATCCCTAAGACAAGTTGAGGGCCACCGGGGTGCTGGGGGCGGGAGGATGGGGGGACGGTGGGTCGGGAGCTGGCAGCTGCGTGGGCTTACACAGCTAAGGGCCTGGCTCCTTCCTGTGCTGCACCCCCTCCCCAGCAACCTGGGTGGTCACACGGGCTCCCCTCACTGTACTCCTGGGCACAGCGGGGCAGGGGCTGGCCCAGGGGACCAGGGCCTGGGCTGAGGGCCACCGTGCAGGTGGACACACGCGGGATGGAGAAGCCAGTACGTCCTGGACCTGCGCTGCCTCCTCCCGGAGCCTTTGCAGAGGGGTCTCAGGGAGCCTGTGCAGGGGTCCCTGTCCATCTCGGCACCACCCCTGCCATCGCCTGGAAGGGCGCAGCCTGACCGGGCGCAGCCCCCACACAGGTGGTGCCGGCTCTCCCCGGCCTGCCGAAAGCAGGTGCTTTGCTGCAGCTGCAAAGGACTTCCATCCTGGAGTCGGAGAGCAGCATGTGTGCTCACCCCGCGGGCCGTATCCTTAGGCAGCCACTGCCCTTCACTGAGCCTTAGGCTCCTCACCTGAGAAATGGGTGTGGCTGGCCGTGGGCCTGCGGCTTTCCACAGCTCTGTGGAGGGCTTAGCGTTGGCCCTTGGGGCTTCCTGAAGGTGGGAGGAAGGGAGAGCTGGGCCGCTGGCCCCCTGCAAGCCCGGTCCCACACACTGCAGCAGCCCCAAGCTGAGGGGAAGGTTCCGTGTGTGTGTGTGTGTGTGTGTGTGTGTGTGTGTTTTTAAATATATTTTTGTGGATTTCAGAGAGGAAGGGAGAGGGAGAGACAGAAACATTGATAATGACAGAGTCACCCATCAGTTGCCTCCTATATGCCCCCCCACTCGGGATCCAGCCGACCCGCAACCCAGGCATGTGCCCTTGACCGGACAGAATCCAACCTGGGACCCCTCAGCCAGCAGGCTGACACTGTCCACGGAGCCAAACTGGCTAGGGGTTCCATCTGAAGAATGTCAGCAGTTCTTTTCTCTCTTTTTTTTTTTTTTTTAAATTTTATTGATTTTTTTTACAGAGAGGAAGAGAGAGGGATAGAGAATTAGAAACATCGATGAGAGAGAATCATCCATCAGTTGCCTCTTGCACACCCCCTACTGGGGATGTGCCCGCAACCAAGGTACATGCCCTTGCCCGGAATCGAACCCGGGACCTTTCAGTCCGCAGGCCGACGCTCTATCCACTGAGCCAAACCGGTCCCAGCGTCAGCAGTTCTTTAAAAATATTAAAATGCTGAGCTAGAATACTGGAGGGCCTTTCTGGGGTGGGAGCCAGAGTCTCCCCGCCAGCTGCAGGCCTGTCCCCCACTTTATAAGGGCCCCCACTGCCCTGGACTGGGTCCCCGCGGGGAGCAGGAGGGGCACGATACTTCAGTTCTTGCTCGGTCCTCCCTGAGGCCCACCCTGGCCCGTTCCACAGGGTCCCCTCTGCTCTGGGCCTGGCAGACCCGCAGGACTCACAGCTGAGTGACCGTGGGGAAGCCGTTCGGCCTGAGGGCAGGGCGACTTCCAGGGCTGATGGAAGATAAAACACGTATCTTGGTGTGGGGCCCAGCCACCCAGCTGAGTTTATTTACAAGTTTTGTGCCTGCAATTCAGCGCCTTAGGACCACCACCTACACCGACTGGGACCGGCCTGTAATCCCTGAGCCTGTTTACTCCGTGAGAGGTATTCTGCCTCGAAGGCAAATTCCTTCTGTCCAGGGCGGGGCCCACACTCCGTGCAATGCACTGGCCATTTCCCATTTCCTCGGCCAGGAGTCCCCTTCCGGCGGGGTTTCCCCGGGGAGGCCCTGCTGGCTCCTGGTGCCAAGGGTGGCATTCCCCTGGCCCCTGCCTGGGCAGACGGGCCTGGACCTTTCCTGCGGTGGCTCAGATGCCTTTATCGGGGAGATATTAACACCCTGGCCTGGCTGGCCTGGCTCAGCTGGTTGGGCGGCGTCCTGTGCACCGGAAGGTTGCCTGCTTGATGCCCGGTCAGGGCACATGCCTGGGTTGTGGGTTCGATCCCCGGTGAGGAGTGTGCAGGAGTCTAGCCCAGTGGTTGTCAAACTGCAGCTCGCAAGCCACATGCGGCTCTTTGGCCCCTTGACTGTGGCTCTTCCACAAAATACCACAGCCTGGGCGAGTCTATGTTGAAGAAGTGGTGTTAGAAGAAGTTTAAGTTTTAAAAATTTGGCTCTCAGAAGAAATTTTAATCATTGTCCTGCTGATATTTGGCTCTGTGGACTAATGAGTTTGCCGACCGCTGGTCTAGCCCATTGATGTTTCGCTATCACATCGATGTTCTCTCTCTCCCTAAAAATAAATTTAAAAAATCTTAATAATAATAAAAGCAGCGATACTTAAAAACAACAGGCACATCCTCCACCCAGCGCGGACGCTGAGCCTGCAGCGCCACCCAGAGGCGCCCAGAGTAACTGCACCACCGGCGGCAGGCCATGCTCCCTACTGCCCCTGGTGGTAGCCATGGGGAGTGCGCCCTCATCAGCAAATGGGTGGTTGCCTAGGAGCTCGCTCCCAGGCCCTGGGATCCTCCAGGGCGGTGACCGGTCATCTCCTCCTCCGCTCACAGCTCCCCAAGCGGGAACCCCTGGGGCAGGGCCCGCCCTTCTGTGAGCGGGGCGCTCCCTTCTCTGAGGCAGCTGCGGAGCAAGAATTTGGGAGCATCGCCGAAACGGTTTGGCTCAGTGGATAGAGAGTCAGCCTGCGGACTGAAGGGTCCCGGGGGTTGGATTCCAGTCAAGGGCATGTACCTTGGTTGCGGGCACATCCCCAGTGGGGGGTGTGCAGGAGGCAGCTGATCAATGATTCTCTCTCATCGATGTTTCTAACTCTATCCCTCTCTTCCTCTCTGTAAAAAAAAATAAATAAATAAAAATATATTTAAAAAAAAATTTGGGAGCATGGGCGGGGTTTGTGAAAGGGGGCCCTCTAAGGAACCCCGGGTCCCTGCTTAGTGGGGCACATAGAGCCTTGGGCCCCGAAGAAACCAACACGACGGAGGGAAGCTGTGACTCAGAGCCCCCTGTGGGCTGCCCGGCCGGGGTGGCCGAGGAGTCACAGAACAGAGCCGGTCCCTGCAGGTGGAGCCCCGAGGGGCTGGGAGGGGTGACAAGCTCTGTGGGGACAGGTCCTGGCTCTCCTTGGTCTTCTCACACCCCTCCCCGCGGGCCCGTCACTAACCCTCCAGGACATTTGCTCCCAAATGCCTTCAAAATGGCCACATTCATGCCAGTGTGGCTCTGTGGTTGAGCATCAACCCATGAACCCGAAGGTCAGGGTTCGATGCTTGGTCAGGGCACATGCCAGGGATGTGGGCTGGATCCCGGATCCCAGTAGGGGGCGTGCAAGGAAGCAGCCAATGGATGATTCTCTCTCATCGTGGGTGTTTCTAGCTCCCTCTCCCTCTCCCTCCATCTGAACTCAACTTAAAAAATTAACGAATTAAAAATAATTTAAGGAAAGAATCGTTCATGCTGACGAAGGACAAGCGTGCTGGGGGCCCCTTGTTCTGCGTAGTTGCGGCCAGAACAAGGCCCCTTCCCCCAAAACATCCACATCAACAAGAAGAGACCAAGTCCAGCCACAAGGGCACCGAGCTCCTGACTGGCCACCGCCCCTCCGGCCTCAATGTCCTCATAGATGGCTGTAGGGCCCCCCCGGGACCCACAGCTTCTCACTTCCTGTCCAGAGGGGCGGGCCTGGGGGGTGGTGGTGGTGGTGGGTGTGCATCTGGGACAGCTGAGGGTTCTGGAGTGGCTCAAGGCTCTCACTGGAGTGTGGCTGGTCACTCCTGAGGGCAGCCTCAGTCCTGCCCCTTCTGGAAGGCCTCCTCCGAGTGACCGCTGACACCACTGGCCGCCTCGGCCCCTCCTCTGTGCCTGGCACCCTGCCCATGTCCCCGCAGTGACGCCCTTTTATGAAGGCGGCCCCCTCAGTTCCCTGTGGGTGAGCGCTGGTCTCCTCCAGGCTCCAGGCTGTCTGGCCCAGCCCCGGGCCTCCTGGGAGAGCTGACATTTGGCGGGGTGGGGGGAGGGGGGGCGTGTGGGCTGGGAAACAGCCCTTCCCTTGTGGGAAGTGAAGGAGGTCAGCCAAACGCCGGGTCTCGGCCTCCGGAGGGTGAAGCTTCGGGTGTTGGGCTCCCTCAGGGCGTTGCACCTTAAGGTGGCACAGCTGTGATGGGGGCTGGAGGGGGGTCAGAAACCCAGAAGCCTCAGGGCAGTACGGGTGGGGGCAGCAGGTATGGGCATCCCAGCTCCTTAACACCCAAAGGTGAGACTTCAGGGCGAGGCTGGGGAAGAAGTCACAGGTCCCCTGGGCCTCACACTGCATCCACCAGGCCTGTACCCCTGACCCGTGGCTGAGACAGCCCGGAGCCCGGAGCCACCCACTAAGCCGGGCGGTCTGTGCCCCCAGCTCAGGCTGCTCCTGCTCCTCCGTCCAACCTGAGCCTGCGCCACTGGGGGCCCACACATACCCTCCCCGGTCACCTGGCTGACCCTCCGGCTGTACTGAGGTCACAGGCCACACAGCGGGGGACGAGGGTCCACTGTGGAGATTGGGGGGGGGCAGGCAAGGCCAGGGGGCGCCCCTAGGTGGACTATCCTGACCCTCTGGCCCTTCCCTGGCTTGTCCAGCTGGACTCGCCCCTGAGCCAGCCCAGAGGCAGGCGGCCATGGAGCAGGGTGGGGGACAGTGGGGGTCAGCAGGGTGGGGGACAGTGGGGGTCAGCAGGGTGGGGGACAGCAGGGGCCCAGCTGTACGTGTGCCCAGCGCAGTCCCTTGGGCTCTTCCCAGGCTTGGGCTGGCGTCCACCTGTGGGGCTGCCCCCTGGACCCCAACCTGCCTGGGCTGGGGAGCCAGGTGAGGCTGGGACCTCAGGGCATGGGGCCCCAAGGAGCCACCGACAGCAGCGTCTCCGGGGACTTATTTCCTCAGCCCGGAGATGCTCTCTGCCCCAGGGATGTGTGCGGGCCAGGCGGAGGCGGCAGAAGCCAGCCCACGAGGCTGTGGGCACTCAGGGGGTCCGGGGTGAGGGGGCAGGAATGACACCAGCCCCTCCTCTGCCTCCGAACACCTTCGGGGCTCCGTGCTCCTGGTGGGAGCTGGTGTGCCGAGGGCCCAGGAGGAAGGTGGCCCTTTTCTCTGGATCCTTTGCCCGAAGCTCACATCAGGGAGGCAGTGGGTCGGGTTGGGGGCTGCAGGGAAGGGGACAGAAGGGCTGCCAGTGGCCTGGCTCCGGCTGCCGCCCTCCCCGACCCTCACCCCCAGCGGGCATGGACTGAGCGCAACAGGAAGTGAGAATAAAATTATCTCTTTATTTCCAAAAGTGTAGGGCGGGGGGAGCAACAGGATAAAAACGAAGACCAGTTCCCCATGGGCCATCGGCTGCGGAGGGATAGCAGCTCTCTGGCCTGTTCTGGGCGGCAGGGGTGGGCTGGGGCTGGCCACTCCCCCGCTGAGCTGTCCCTGCCCAGTCCCTGCCCCGCAGCTATTATAAAAATCGGTTAGTGGGTTAGGTTTCCAGATGCGGTGGCTCTGGGTCCTCCCAGGAGCGGGCTCCCCTCAGCTCCCCTCCCACCCCTCACTCCTGTCCCTCAGCTCCTGGCCTCCAGCCCCAAACTCCTCCCACTCCACCTCCACGTGGCCCTCCTCAGGCCCTCACAACCCCCAGCTCCTCTGTGCCACCTCCTACCACCTCCTGGCTCCCTCCTCCTCTCCCCACTGCCCCCCCTCGAACCCCTCCCCCCCCCACACACACAGTGGTGGCCCCGACAGTGCCTGGGAGTGAGCCCGGCTCAGCCCACTGGCCGAGGGCAGGTGGCCAGGGGCAGATTGTCGCCACACCGGCTGTCTGTCCGAATGCATCCCGCAGCAAAGGTGGAACCAGCAGAAGGTGCGAGCTAGGAAGACAGAGTCCTTGGAGAGGGTTCGAAGGCTCCAGAATCTAAGGCGGCCCAACTAGGACAAACTTCTGGAGGGGGGGTGGGGCTGAGCCTACAGGCCCCTGACCCCTGCGGGCTGCCCCTGGGCCCAGGGCACAGGCTGAGGAGGCTGGGAGTGGGGGAGAGGGGGACAAATGGCAGTGCTCCAGCCTGGTCAGAGCCAGCCCCTCCCCACAAAAAGGCAGGCTGTGGGCCTGAGGGAGCCCAGCCACAGGGTCGGGGAGCCATCTCCCCAACAGAAAGCAGCAGAGGAGGGAGGGAAGGCGGAAGGGAGGGAGGGAGAGAGGGAGGGTCGGGCTGCAGGGCCCGAGCAGGTGGCCTCTGGGGCGGAGGGAGGAGGCAGGCTGGGGCCACCTCTCCCTGCTCCCCAGGCTGACGGAGGGCGGCCTCCTGGGGGGTTTTGAGGGTGCAGTGAGGGGAACGGGGAGAGGAAGCCAGCAAGAGCAGACATGTGACGCTGTGACGGCCTCAGGGACCCCCTCAGAACAAACCCCACCCCCTGCGGCCGCCCCACCTGCTCCCCCGCCCCGGCGCTGTCATTTGTGGAGGTAGGCGTCCAGCCACAGGTCCCCAGACTTCTTCAGGGACCTGGGGAGAAAGGGGGGCAGTCAGGGCCAGGAGACAGGCAGGCGGAAGGAGAGGGGAGAGGATGGGGAGCCCCAGAAGAGGACAGGGAATCCTGGGAGAGGATAGGGAATCCTGGGAGAGGATGGGGAGCCCTGGGAGAGGATGGGGAGCCCCAGGGGAGGATGGGGAGCCCTAGGGGAGGATGGGGACCCCTGGGGGAGGACGGGGAGCCCCGGGGGAGGACGAAGAATCCTGGGGGAGGACGGGGAGCCCCAGAAGTGGACAGAGAGTCCTGGGAGAGGATGGGGAGCCCTGGGGGAGGATGGGGAGCCCCGGGAGAGGACAGGGAATCCTGGGAGGGGACAGGGAATCCTGGGGGAGGACGGGGAGCCCTGGGGGAGAGGATGGGGAGCCCTGGAGAGGATGGGGAGCCCCGGGGGAGGATGGGGAGCCCTGGGGGAGGATGGGGAGCCCTGGGGGAGGACGGGGAGCCCCGGGGGAGGACGAAGAATCCTGGGGGAGGACAGGGAGCCCCAGAAGTGGAAGAGAGTCCTGGGAGAGGATGGGGAGCCCCGGGGGAGGACGGGGAGCCCTGGGGGAGGATGGGGCAGCCTTGCTGGGGTGCAGCTGCTTCCTCTCTGCTCTCAGTCAGGGGTGCAGTGCAGGGCCCCCGGGGCCCCGAGGAAGACAAAGGGAAGGCCCCGCCAGCTGCTGGGCCCCCTCCTGTGTGGGTGCACAGTCCCTCCCCATCCCCCTGGGGTCCTCCCAGTCCCCTCCACCCCCTCACCGGACGATGTCCTGCAGGGCCCTCAGCAGCGGCTTCTCCTGGTACGGGATGCCGTGCTTGGCGCACAGGGACCGCACCAGCGGCGCCACCTTGTGGAAGTTGTGCCGCGGCATGGTGGGGAAGAGGCTGGGGGAGGAGAGGGGGTGAGGCTGCAGGCCCGGGAGGCCCGCCTGCAGCTCTCCCCGTGTGGACGGCTGTGTTTGGGACTGGGGACGGGACGGGGATGTGATGCTGGAGACGGAACACCGTGCTTTTCTAAAAGCCGGTGCGGCTCAGTGGTGAGCGTTGACCTATGAACCAGGGGTCACGGTTCCCTTCCCAGTCAGGGCACCTGCCCGGGGTGGGCTCCGTCCCCAGTAGGGGGCGTGCGGGAGGCAGCCGGTCAACGTTTCTTCCTCATCTGGATGTCTCTCTCTCCTTCCCTTCCTCTCTGAAATCAATGAAAACCTATTTTTTAAAAATTGAAATCTATAAAAATACATTTTAAAAGTAAAAGAATAGAAAGGAAACGAGAGAACTGGAGGGGTGAGAGGAAGAGGAGGCGGCGGAGACGGGGATGAGGGCAGCAGGGATGGGGGTTTGGGGGGAAGCCCAGTGGCATCTGTTCCGGGGAAGCTGGGCCTCAGTTTCCCTGTCAGTGAAGGGGGACGGCCGCCCCGCCCGCCCGCGAGGCGCACGGAGCAGAGGCGCAGGCGGAAGCTGTGACTGTGACTGCGACGCCGTGGGGCTGGAGCGGCCTCCCCGTGACGGGGGCACAGGGCGCCCCTCCCGGCCTCAGGGGCTGGCGGGGGAGGTGGGGGGTCTCCCCAAGTGGAGGAGAGAGGGAGCCCCTAAACACCCCTCTACCCCTCCCACTGCGTGTGTGTGTGTGTGTGTGTGTGTGTGTGTGTGTGTGTGTGTGTGTGTGTGTGGTGTCCGCCGCACTCACTGGTGCTCGATCTGGAAGTTGAGGTGCCCGCTGAACCAGTCGTTGAAGAAGGACTGCTCCACGTTGCAGGTGGCTGCCAGCTGGGGGCGGGGCGGGAGGGAGGGGCGGCCGGGGGTGAGGATCGAGGAGCCTCCTCTCTGTCCCACAAGGCCCAGCCTCGCCAGGTCCCGGGCCGCCCCTCCGTGTCATACTGATCGCCGAGCCCTCCCCGGCCAGTCCCCGCCGGCCCCTCCCAAGGGCCCGCCACCTTCCCGCGCCGCCCCGGCCCGGCCCGGCCCAGCGGCGGAGGGACAGTCAGACCCGGGAGCGGGCACGGCTCTGGGTCCGAGGGGCAGCCCCGGCCGTGGGCGAAGGGCCTGTGACCCACCTGGCTGCTTAGCCAGTCCCGGTACGGCTCCCGGTCAATATCCATGACGATGTGGTTCATCTGCGTGACCCACACGAACCAGTGGCTCTCCAGGAACCTGGGGGCGAGGGGAGGGTCGCTCAGCCCGGGCCTGCCTGCTCTCCCCGCCCACCCCGGGGACAGCTCCTCCCCACCCAGGCGGGCACGGGGGCAAGGCCGTGAGGCCCAGGGGTCCCTCTCCTCACACCGGCGTGGCCCAGGGAGGGAGGGCACCTGATGAAGTTGAGGAAGAGGATGGCGCCCAGGACACCGTAGAAGGGGATGTAGGTGATGAAGAAGCGGGCGTAATAGCTGACGGCCCAGGCCAGGTCCTGCAGGAGAGGCGCGATGAGACGCGGGGCCCTGCCTCCGGCACCGCGTTCCCACCCGGCGTGCACCCCATCGCCGGCACCGCGGCCCCCACCCCTCCTCCGGGCGCGCACCCGCAGCCGGCAGAGTCCGTCCCGGGAGCGCCCCTGGGCGGCTCGGATTGGGGGCAGCAGGCAAGGCCGCCTCGTGGCCAGGAGGGAGCTGCGTGCTCGCTCTCAGGGACAGAAACAGGGATGGGGACCTGGGACCAGTGAGGGCCCCACAGGCCGGGTCAGAGGTCGGCAGCCCTCCCGTGGGCCGGGGAGTCTGACGGTGCACCCCCACCGGCAGGCTCACGGACAGCCCGGGGTCCTGTCCGGACTCCTGAGCACCAGGGAACCCCCTCCCCCACGCTCACCCAGCACCGGGGGTGGGGAGGGTGAGGGGTGTGGGAAGGGTGGGGGGGTAGAGGGGAGAGGGCACAGAGGACAGAGTCACACCCACCCTGCCTCGCAGGCGGGCACTCGGCCTCGGCCTCCCGGGCGTCCACAGCAGAGCCTTGTCTCTCCCTGCCCGCCTCCCCTTGCCCCGGGGAGCCCAGTGTGACGAGGGAGCAGGCGCCGGGTCCTCAGCCGCCTCAGGGCCTCGGAGGACTGTGTCCTCTCCAGGAATGTGGGTGCGGAGCCGGGTCCCCCATCTCTCCCCTCCCCGGAGGAGCCAACTCCAGCTTCCTGAGGCTGTGGGTGCTCCCTGAGCTGGGTCCCCCCTCCCGCCTGCAGGACGGGGGCTCCGCAGGGCGTGCATGTCGAAGGGAGCGGAGCTGCACCTGAGCTCCGCCAACTCAGCCGCCCAGAGGTCTCCCTCCCGCACACCCGGACCCAGAGCCACCTCGGGTCAGGTCCAGCCTCCGGGTAAAACCCACGAGCCCTTCCCACACCTGCCCTGACCCTGCCTGGCCCGCCGCCCGTCCGCTGGCCCGGTGCGCCTGCCAGGACATGCCGTGTCCAGGCTGCGTCCACCGGTGGCGGCCGCTCCCCTATCTGCTCAGCAGCTCGCCCTGCAAGGCGGCTGTCCTCACTCCACAGCCTCCAGCGAGTGCCCTCTCCGAGTCAGAGGCTAAGTGGGCTGCCGGGGGCAAAGGCCATTGGAGCCCGGGCCTCCAAGGACAGGCTGAGAGGTCCCGTGAACACCCCACGGGAGGGGCTGGCGGTCCCGGGGGATCGAGACCGGGTTCCGGGGCCTCCCTAGCATTTAGAAGCCTCATCAGGAGGGGGCCTGAGCGTGGGCCCCGAGAGTCTCGGGTACCGAGTCTGGAAGCGGTAGGAGGCCCAGCCCTCCGGCCCCACTGCACCCCATTTCCCGCTGCACCCTATTTCCCGGCAGAGCGAGGGCAGGCCCTGAAAGGCACGGCCGATCGGGTTCCCTGCCCTCTGAGCACGCTCAGATGGGCTTTCCGACCGCCCCTATCTAGTTGCTTTGTTCCTTAGGGAACAACCAGTTAAAAGGTGAAGTATTCCGATTAAAACACCCGGCAGCACGGCCGGCCCACGCCTCGGCTCACGTTGCTCTCGGCACGCGGCCACGGGCCGGAGCCGGGGGCAGACCGTGGTCACGGAGCTCAGACCGGGGGTCAAGTTCCCATCACTTCACGGTCCGGAAATCCCATTCCCCCAGCCCCTCCCTTCCAGCCTCCTGGCAAACCGGGTCAAAGGACACAACGCAGGTGTCGGCGCCGGGCCGTTCTAGAACGGCGTCCGTCCTGACGAAACGCTCGCTTCGGGGAAAAGGGCGTGTCTGGGAGGGGAGCGGGGCAGGTCCCGCCAGCTCGGGCCTGGCAGACGCGCGCCGAGTCCCGCTGCCTCCCCGGCCGCCACCCGTCTCCAGAGCCCAGTCCGTCCAGTCCGGCTCTCTTAGGAGAACCGACAGCCACGGGCAGGCCGGTGCGACTCAATGGTTGGACGCAGAGGTCACGGTTCAACTCCCGGTCAAGGGTACGGGCCCGGGGTGCAGGCTCGGTCCCCAGGAGGGGGCGTGCAGGAGGCAGCAGACCCATGATTCTCTCTCACCACTGAGGTTTCTCTCACTCCCTCTCCCTTCCTCTAGGACAACAATAAAAATATATCACACAAAAACCCAAAACCCAGGAATCAGCAGCCGCGGGCCGACCCATCCTTTCCCCGAGAGGACGCAGGAGGAAGTGCTCTGCGGCCATCGGATGCGATAGAGACACAGGCCCTGCTGCTTCCGAGGCTGGTGGTGGGCGTGGGGGGCCTGGGACGTGGCGTCGGGAGGCCTGGGTTCTGGAGCCCCCCACCCCGTGGTGTCACTGCAGGGAAGTCCCAAACTCTCAGAGCCTCACCCTCTTCTTTCACGAAGCCGAGTTAGGAGAGACCAGCGGCACCGGCACCAGGGACCCCAGGGAGCGAGCCCTGTCCTGGCCCACTGGGCCCCGCTCTGCCCAGGCTGCCCGCTCTGCCAGGTCAGGCTGCGTGGGCACAGTGCCCTCTCAGGTCTACACAGAGCCAGGCTGGTGGGAGGCCCGGGTGCCCACGGAGGCGCCTTCTGAGGGGGCACTGGGCACAGATGCAGATGCAGACCAGGCGCAGGGCAGGGGAAGTGAGGAGGCGCGTGGAGCAGGGGGCGCCGGCCACGAGCCACGGAGAGTGGCCCGCCCAGCCCCTTCCTCGCCGCCTCAGGACCGCCCCGGCCACAGCCCGGGCGGGACCACGGTTCTGCTGCTGACCGACCCGCCACGCAGCCCGTGACGCTTTCACACGCAGCCCGGCTCCCCGCACGCCTGCCCTCCCTGCCCGGCGTGTGACCCGCCTGGGCCTCAGGGACACGGCAGGACACGGGAGGCCCTGCTGGCCTTCGGGAACTTTCTGAGGGCTCCCGGGGCTCCCCTGTGCCGGGGCCCTGCAGGTGGGTGCAGGGCCTGCCAGCCCTGGCAGCCCAGAGCCGGTCCTGTCCCGAGTAGTAAGGCAGCGCCCGAGGGGAAACGCCTGGCCCCACAGAGGCAGGAGGGCACGGGCAGGCCCCGTCCACCACCCACACCCCCCCCGCGCCCCGGCCCACGGCGTCCTGCGACTCACCACCCAGTCTCTGCGGACGATCATGGTCATGACGATCTGGTACTGGAAGTACATGGGGATGAGCAGCGGCGGCCCGACTGCGGGGAGAGGCGCGGAGCTGCTCAGAGCGCCCTGCCTGTCCTGTCCCCGCCCCATTCGGTCCCCGTCCCGTCCTGTCCCCGTCCCATCCTATCCTGTCCCCGCCCCATTCGGTCCCCATCCCGTCCTGTCCCTGTCCCATCCTATCCTGTCCCCGTCCCATTCGTCCCCGTCCCGTCCTGTCCCCGTCCCGTCCTGTCCCCGCCCCATTCGGTCCCCATCCCGTCCTGTCCCCGCCCCATTTGGTCCCTGTCCCGTCCTGTCCCTGTCCCATCCCGTCCTGTCCCCGTCCCATTCGTCCCCATCCCGTCCTGTACCCGTCCCATCCCGTCCTGTCCCCGTCCCATCCCGTCCTGTCCCCGTCCCATCCCGTCCCCGCCCCATTCGGCCCCCGTCCCATCCTGTCCCCATCCCGTCCTGTCCCCGTCCCATCCCGTCCTGTCCCCGTCCCATCCCGTCCCCGCCCCATTTGGTCCCCGTCCCATCCTGTCCCCATCCCGTCCTGTCCCCAGCCCATCCCGTCCTGTCCCTGTCCCATTCGGTCCCCATCCCGTCCTGTCCCCGTCCCATCCTGTCCTGTCCCCGTCCCATCCTGTCCCCATCCCGTCCTGTCCCCATCCCATCCCGTCCTGTCCCCGTCCCATTCGTCCCCATCCTGTCCTGTCCCCGTCCCATCCCGTCCTGTCCCCGTCCCATTCGGTCCCCGTCCCATTCGGTCCCCATCCCGTCCTGTCCCTGTCCCATTCGGTCCCCATCCCGTCCTGTCCCCGTCCCATCCTGTCCTGTCCCCGTCCCATCCCGTCCTGTCCCCGTCCCATTCGTCCCCATCCCATCCTGTCCCCATCCCATTCAGTCCCCATCCCGTCCTGTCCCCATCCCGTCCTGTCCCCGTCCCATTCGGTCCCCATCCCGTCCTGTCCCCGTCCCATTCGATCCCCATCCCATTCGGTCCCCATCCCGTCCTGTCCTCGTCCCATTCGGTCCCCATCCCATTCGGTCCCCATCCCGTCCTGTCCCCATCCCATTCGGTCCCCATCCCGTCCTGTCCCCATCCCATTCGGTCCCCATCCCGTCCTGTCCCCATCCCATTCGGTCCCCATCCCGTCCTGTCCCCATCCCATTCAGTCCCCATCCCATTCAGTCCTCATCCCATCCTGTCCCCGTCCCATCCTGTCCTGTCCCCGTCCCCTCCCGGCTGGAAGAGCAGGAGGGACTGCAGCCAGCACACAGACTGCAGCTCACGCTGAGACAGCCGGGAGCAGACAACCCCTCCACACCCCGACCCAGGATCAGGAGCCAGGCCCCTGCTGGCCTTGGGGCTGGTCTGTCTGAGGGCCAGGAGGGCCCTGCAGGGGAGGCTGCTGTGGGCTCTTTCCTAGCAGGGTCAGTGTCACTTCCCGAGTTCACAAAGGGTGTCGGTGGGAGGACGGGGGGGGGGGGGGGGGGGGGGGGGAGGCTGCGGCGCCCGCACTCACTCAGGAAGAAGTACTCGTGCTGGTGGTTGTAGGGCAGGTATTTCAGCTTCTTCTTGCCGTACTGAGGAGAGAGACAGAGGAGAGGCCGTGAGTGCCGGCACCTGCGCCCTGGGCCCCGCCTCCCTGCCCTTCCCCGCCCACTCTGCAGTCACCACTGTCCCTCCGGCTCAGGGCCTCCGTCCCTCGCCTGCCAAGCTGCCCCTCCGGCTGCCAGGCTGACCCCAGGCTAACCAGCCAGCACGCCCTCAGCCGGCTCAGTGCGTCCCCTACACGCAGCCTCAGCTCCCGCTCCATGCCAGCCCGGGAGCCGGGAGCCGGGAGCCAGCCTTTCCGAAGCCAAGGCTCAGGGTCAGGCCCAGTTTGGCTCAATGGATAGAGCGTCGGCTTGGGGACTGAAAGGTCCCAGGTTCGATTCCGGTCAGGGCATGTACCTTGGTTGTGGGCATATCCCCAGTAGAGGGTGTGCAAGAGGCAGCTGATCGATGTTTCTCACTCATCGATGTTTCTCTCTCTCTCTCCCCCTTCCTCTCTGAAGTCAATAAAAATATATTTAAAAAAGTAAAAGCCAATGATCCCTGGTCAGTGTGGCTTCAAACGGTTGCTAATTCAGCCCTAGGCAGTTTGGCTCTGTGGGTAGAGTGGCCTGTGAACCAGCGGGTCCCAGGTTTGATTCTGGTCAAGGGCATGTACCTTGGTTGCAGGCTCCTCCCCGGCCCGGGCCCTGATTGGGGTCGTGCAGGAGGCAACCAGTTGATGTGTTTCACATCGAAGTCTCTCTCTGTCTCTCCCTCTCTCTTCCATGCTCCCTAAAAATCAACGGGAAAATATCCTCGGGTGAGGATTAAAAAAAAAAAAAGTCACTGGTTCAATTCCCCGTCAGGACACAGGCCTGGCTGCAGGCTGGACTCCTGGGAGGGGCGGTGCAGGGGGCAGCCCGTAGATGTCTCGCTCTCTCGCCGATGTGCCAGGTGCTGGCACCGGGACACTGCTCCTGGCAGCCCTCCCTGGGCCCAAGGGCCAGAGCCGCCTCTGCAATGCATCCATTCCCACTCCTTCGGGGAATCAGAGCCGGGGAGGGGGCGCCGGGTGCTGTCCAGGCCAATGCCCCTGGTTCCCGGGTGAGGACAGAGGACAGTGATTCTCAAAACCACAGGAGTCTGTGGGTTCCTGCTCGGAGGGCCCCGACGGGAACTGAGCCCGGCTGTCCCAGGCCCCGCCTCCCGGCGCCAGGGCCGTGTCCCAGCACCCGGGGTGCGTCCACCCTCGGCTCCGTGCGGCCTCCTGGGCCCCCTCACGCCCAGAGGCGTGTCCGTTTGCTCCAAGACTATCGTTACGGCCAGGGATGAGGTTGGCCTTGCAGGGGCCCAGCCAGGGAGCTCTCAGAGGTGGGTGGAGGGGCCTGCACTTGGGGGGGGAGGGGAACCCCGAGTGGCCATTCAAGGAAGGGGAAAATGCAGCTGCCCGGGGGCCTGGGAGGCATAGGACCCACAGAACAGGCTCAGTCCCCAGCGGGGGGCGTGCAGGAGGCGGCTGATCAGGGATTCTCTCACCGTCGTCGATCTCTCTCTCTCCCCCCACCCCCACCTCCCTTCCTCTCTGAAATCAATAAAAATACATTACACACACACACACACACGCACACGCACACGCACACACACGCTGGGGTGATCCAGCAAACACATTTCCCTTAATGTCCACTAGGTGGTGGCGGCGGGCAAGGCGCCAGGGGACCCGGAGCCGGGTGTAGAGCAGACGCATGGGTTTGGTTGGTGGCTTTTCCTAGCTGTGACCTGGAGCGAGTTACTCCATCTCAGCCTTCGTTGTTCCATCTGTAAAATGACTCCTGACTCAGGAAGTGATGACCTTCATGCCTCGCTCAGCTCAGGGCTGGGCTCTGGACTTGCTTGGTGGGCGCGCCGCTCTCCCCACCGGGCCCCCCAGCCCTCTCCTTCCGGACAGCCTCACCCACAGGGAGAGGGCTTGGGGCAGTGTGGCCGTCGGAGGGGAGACACGGGGGGCAGAGGGAGGTACGGTGGCCCCCGTGTCCAGGAAGGAGGTGGTGGCACACAGGGCTCTCTCCCCCGCATTCCCAGGCGTTGGCTGACTGGGACGCGGGCCAGGCACGGGGAGGGGGGCGCTGCCCGCGGGGGCCTGGCTTCCCGCAGTTGGAGTTCCGCCGCCCTTTGCCCGCCGCGGGCCCTCCCGCCCTAGGCCCTTGGCGGACCACGAGGCCAGGCTTGGATGCCAGGGGCGCGGACCGGGGACTTCAGCGTTGGAACAGAATGTCTGAGGAGGACAAGGCCCTCCTTGTCTGCCCCGGAGTGGGGGAGGGGAGCGGTCGCAAAGTCCAGCACCCGCCTCTGGGAACCTGCAGACTCCCACACAGAGAAGGAGCAACAATCTCCCCCTCCCCCGCCATGGGCATGCACAGAGCAGCAAGACCCCAAAACCCAGCTCCGGCCTGCAGGAGACCCGGTCACTCCCAGGGAGGCCTGGCTGCACGGGGGCTGCCTGGCCCAGGAAGCAGGGGTCAGTGGGGGGCGGGGGTGCCCAGGCAGGTGGAGGAGGATCTGAGCACGTGGCCCAGAACGAGGATGAGCAGCGTCAGGCCGCCCCGAGATCACACGGCTTCACTCTGTTCCGGACGCTCAGGAGCTCAAAAACCGACGCAAACACAGAAAGGACGGGGCTGCGTTTTCACTATTTTCTTTCTTTAAAAATGAAAATAAATGTTTTTATTGATCTCAGAGAGGAAGGGAGATGGAGATAGAAACATCAATGATGAGGGAGGATCATGGATCGGCTGCCTCCTGCACGCCCCCCACTGGGGATCAAGCCTGCAACCTGGGCATGTCCCCTTGACTGGAACGAACCTGGGACCCTTCAGTCTGTAGGCTGATGCTCTATCCACTGAGAAAACCAGCAAGGACTAAAAGTACAGATTCTGCCCTAACTGGTTTGGCTCAGTGGATACAACTTTGGCCTGCGGACTCAAGGGTCCCGGGTTTGATTCCGGTCAAGGGCATGTACCTTGGTTGCAGGCACATACTCAATAGGGGGTGTGCAGGAGGCAACTGATCGATGTTTCTAACTCTCTCTCCCTCTCCCTTCCTCTCGGAAAAAAAATCAATAAAATATATTTAAAAAATAAGTAAAGTACAGATTCTTCTTAGGAGAGGGAAGGCGGCCCACTCCAGTGAACAGGGGGCAGGAAGACACATCCAGGGCTGGAGCTCAGTCCCTGGGCTGCTCCAGGAAAGTCTGGGTGGAGTCCAAGGCCTGGAGGCTGGAGGGCCTGGGCGGGGCCGTCCACCTGTTTTCCCCCCCCCACGAGGGAGGGGCGGTTCAGGGTCACACGGGAAGTGGAGGAGAGTCCCAGACCTAACAGCTCAGCCTTTCCATCCGCCCTGCCTCACGGCCTCATCTGAAAATCAGTGTAGTTTGCATCTCCTATTGTCTCCACCGCCCCTTCCCCAAACGCCATGCGTCTTGGTGGCCCGTGACTGCATGCCGTATGTCCTCTGTGTGTGAGTGTGCACGCCTGCTTGTATGTCCTCTGTTCACATGTCCCATCCACATGGTGCCTACACACACACACACACACACACACACACACACACTCGCACGCAAACACGCACGCACACACACACGTCCGCGCTGCCTCCCGCTCCTCCCCAACCCCGTCCGCACCGCCGCCCGTTCACCCCACTCTCCCCGTCCCCACGGCCGCCTCCTACCTCCACGGGCTGCTGCTCGCCCAGCACAAACACGTGCAGCATGTTCACGTCCGGGTCCTTGTGGAAGATGTTGGGCTTGGCGTGGTGCTGGAAGTGGCGATGGTTCCACCAGTTGGCGGAGGCACCCTGCGGGGGAGGCGGGGGGAGGGGTGCAGTCTGCTGAGGGGCTAGTGATAGGTGGGTGAGTAAAATGTGGCTGATTGTACACGGAATGCACTCGGCCAGGCCTTCCAGGAACGAGTAACACGCATCTCCGCATGGAAACATGTCATGCCAGTCCCACAGGACCACACGGGTGACCCCATGTCTACGAAATGCCCGGAAGAGAGACGGGAAGAGTGGCTGCCCAGGGCTGCCATGGGGCGAGAGATGGGAGGTGCAGGGGTTTCTTTTGGGGGGATGAAGAGCCTCCAGAATTGGCTGTGATTATGGTTAAGTCAACGGCTCGTACTCTTTCTTATATTTATATGTATTTTAATTGACCTCAGAGAGGGAGAGGGAGGGAGAGAGAGAAACATCAACGATGAGAGAGAATCATGGGCCGGCTGCCTCCTGCACGCCCTGGGGATGGAGCCCTCAACCTGGGCACATGCACTGACCAGAAATCGAACCCTGACCTTCTGGTTCAGAGGTCGATGCTCAACCACTGAGACACACGCCTGGGCCACTGGCTGGTACATTTTAAATGGCGAACGGGACTGTATGAATTGTATCACCGGGAAGCGTTTTAAACAAACAAGGGCCGAAGCAGTGGGATACGCTCTGCCTGCGGGAGGAGGCCCGGGCCCAGGTGCTGCAGGGTGGCCTGGCTCACACTAACACACACAGGCAGGGGCTCCCGGCTCTAACGCTTAAGCGTCCAGCAGATGAGAAGCATCCCACACACACCTCCTTCCCGGCCACGGACGCGCCTCCCCGCTCAAGCCCCTGACTCACTCCCAAGGACGGCCCTGTGACGCACAGGCTGAGCTGTCACGTCAGACTCAGGGTGAGCTCAGTGCCCAGCACAGCATGGACCCAGGGTCCGGCCACCTGCAAAGGCCTAGTCGCTACAACACCCGTGTCGCCAGGGAGAGGCTGTGGACTCCGTGGGTGGGACCAGCCAGGACCAGTGGGCTGGGCGGGACCTCAGGCTGCTACACGAAGGCACCTCAGAGCCCCCAGATCCGAGCAGAGTCAGCGAGTGAGCGCTCAGAGCAGTGGTTCCCAACCTTCCTAACGCCGAGGCCCTTTGACACAGCTCCTCATGGTGTGGTGATCCCCAACCATGACGTTATTTTTGTCGCTTCTTCGTAACTGTGATTTTGCTACTGTTACGAGTCATAATGTAAATATGTGTTTCCCGAAGGTCTTAGGTGGTCCTGCTAGCGGTTCTCAACCTGTGGGCTGCTGGAGAGCCTGAGACCATTGGAAAACACAGATATTGTATCGCTGGGGGTCACCACAACACGAGGAGCTGTGTTAAAGGGTCGCGGCATTCGGAAGGCTGGGAACCACTGGCTCTGAGGACAAGTCTGTCTTTCCAGACAAAAGGAACTAAATTCTTAGTGAGAACGGACAGGAGAACCTCTGGGGCAGCGAAGGAGCGGCAGGATCCGAAGGTCTCACTCCACCCGAGGCTGGTGCGGGGCGGCCCCCCTGGCCGTGGGCACAGCCCGTCCCACCAGTCTCCCCCCGGAGCCCAGGCAGCCGGCATCCTGCTCGCTCACTAGCTTCACCCTAGTCACAGCCGCAGTGCCCGGGAAGAGGCTGTGCCACGCACGGCAGGCCGGGCGGCAGATCCAGGACCTCTGGCGACTTCCCGGCTGGGCACCCGGGCGAGCTGCCGGCCACGCCACTGGCCTGGGCCCCACGGAGGGCAGCGGCGGGCAGGACCTGGCTTCCTCCACCTGCAAGCGGGCGCCTCCCGCCACCCAGGACCCCATCTCCTGAGACAGGTCCCATGGAGGCCGCACGCCCCGGCCTCGTCTTCCCAACCAGGGGACCCCGGACCCCCAGGCAAGGGGCAGCAGCTCCGGCCCAGCTGAGCGCGTGGGGACCGCATGGTGGGGACCGCATGGTCGGCGTGAAACGCTGCTTTCCATGCCAGGGGGGCTTATCCACCAGAAAGCACGAAACCAAACTAAGCGCCCTCCTGTGCACACCTCCCCTCGCCCCGAAACCCTGGGAAACCACCTTCTCAGGCGGCTGCAGGTTCAGGGCCAGGCCAGCCGCTCGCTGCAGAACATGGCCTGCAACCGATTCCATGGTCCTTCACCCCAGCCAGACCCAGGCCTGAGCTAGGGGCCGCCGCGTGTGGGTCACAGCGGGAAGACTTAGCCCTGGCGCAGGGCTCTTCCCAGGCCAGGGTGCGGGGTAAAGGGGGTGGAGGGTGGGGGTTCAGGGTGGGGAGTGTGCGGGGGATGGGGAGGGTGTGGGTGGGGAGGGCTCCTGGGTGGGGAAAGTGGGAGTCTTCAGGACACAGCCTTTCCTAAGGAGCAGCTGGGGGGGAGGTGGTGTGTCAGGGAGAGAGCCGGCAGGGACGTATTTCTGAAGCCAAGGAGATAAGCTATCAAATCAGCACAGGCTCTGGCACCTCCCGCTGGGGTTTCACACACACTGGCCGCTGCTGGCCGGCTGGTCTGGGGGGGCCCTGAGCCGCCTGGCTCACTGGGCTTGGAACAGCTCTGCTGGCTGACTCAGCAGCGCTTTGTGCTGCGTGACGCCCGTGTCTGCAGACCCCAGACCCCCTTTCGGACTCCAAGCGCAGTGAGACGCTTCATGACCCAGGACTCCTTCTAACAAAAGGTCTAAAAGGCGGTAAATGACCGGAAGGCGCCTCAGAGGAGGGGAGGACACATTTCACAAAAGAAGAAGACAAGAAGAACGAGGAAGAGGAGAAGGAAGAGGAAGAAGGAAGAACGGCTCACATTGTTCCAGTTCAAGAGAAACTTTCTCTATCGGCCCCAAGACTACGGGGGGGCTCAGATAAGGAGCCGTCCAGTCGCTGAGCCACAGACCAAGAGGCGAGGGTCAGTGTTCAGAACCAGCGGGGCAGGTGGCTCTAGGGAGATAGGGAGCCGGGCTGGGAGGGTGGCGGAGCGGGGAGCGGGGAGCCTCACAGCTGGACTCAGAGCGGCAGCTGCACCCACGGCGCACAGTGGGGCTGTGCCCCGGCCACGGCCTTACCTTCAAGTGGCCGATGATGAACTTGTGGACGATGTGGTTCCACATGGACTTCTTGTAGACGGACAGGTGGCCGTAGTCATGCTGCAGCCAGCCGGCCTGGGCCTGCGGGGAGAGGCACAGGTCTGTCCCAGCGGGGCGGCGTGCGGGCGGGCGGTGCAGGTGCGGGCTCCCGGGCTGGGGCCGGGCCTGCAGCGCGGCCGGGGCGGGGTCCCGCCTCACCTGCGAGGTAGCCAGCACAAAGGCGGTGATGATGGTGGGGATCCAGCCGTTGCCGAAGTAGAAGACGGTGAACCAGGCGAGGCTCTCCATGGCGAGGATGTGGGCCAGCAGCAGGAGGAAGAAGAGGTGGTTGCTCTTGAACAGGTTCATGTCCTCGGCCGCCTTCCTCAGCGCCCGGAAGTCCTCGGTGATCTGGGACTGCGGAGCGAGGGCACGGGACGGGTCAGCGCTCCCGCCGGCATTGCCACACCCTCGCCCTGTGCCTGCCTGGCCACCGCCTGCGGGGGTGGGGGGGGGGGGGAGCTGTGCGTTCGTCCCCAGCCGGTCAAAGGCGGAGAGGGGCGTCACTCCACAGCCTGCCCCGTGCACAACCCCCCTCAGTGCAGCACGCACAGTGGGCAGAAGGCGGAGGCAGAGCAAAACATCGGCAGGTGAATGGCTGAATGAGCCAAGCCCATCCATCTAACAAATGCTCTTTTAAAAAAATATATATTCTATTGATTTCAGAGAGGAAGGGAGAGGGAGAGAGAGATAGAAACATCAATGATGAAAGAGAATCATTGATTGGCTGCCTCCTGCACCGCCCTATTGGGGATCAAGCCCGAAACCCAGGTACGTGCCCTTGACAGAAATCGAACCCGGGACCCTTCAGTCCGCAGGCTGATGCTCTATCCACTGAGCCAAACCAGCTATGGCCAACAGAATGTCCTTTCGCCTTAAAAAAGAAGGCCCAGCAGGGGGCTCAGTGGTGGAGCATTGACCTGTGAACCAGGAGGTCACCGTTCAATTCCTGTCAGGGCACGTGCATGCCCAGGGAGGGCCTGCAGGAGGCAGCCAATCGATGGTCCTCTCATCACTGGCGTTCCTCTCTCTCCCTCTTCCTTCCTCTCTGAAATCAGTAAAAATCTTTTTTTTAAAGGAAGGAATCTTCACACATAAGACGCTGGGCTCAGTGCCATCAAGCCCGACACAAACAGACAGGCCCCCTGTGGGCTCTGCTCCCTGAGGTGCCAGCCGGAAGGGAGAGCAGTGCTGACCACGCTGGGGGGCGGGAGGGTGCGGTGCTGGGTGAACACAGTGTGCGTGGGCTCCGAACCCCTGGCCTGTACCCCGGGAATGGCGACACGGGCACGCCATCCTGTCCCCGCTCCCACAAGCTTGCAGCCTCTGCTCCCCGGACGCTGCACCCTGGTCCTGGGCACCCTGCTGGGCCTTGAGGTGGAGGTGGGGAGACACATGACCAAGTCCCTGCCCCCCAGAGCTGGGCAGGAGGCAGGAGACAACCGGTGGGGCGAGGGGTGATGGAGGCAGAGCCCGGATGGCTCCGAGGAAGTGTGGGCATCGCTGGGAGGCAGGGCAGGAGGGGAGGCGGGAGCGCAGGTGCAGAGCTACCCACAGGACTTGCCCAGGGTCCTGGGACAGGCAGGCGGGCGGGGAGGGGGGGCCAGATCTGGGCGCCTGCGAGGTAAGGAAGACTCGGAAGAGTACCCCTGGAGACCACTTACACAGTGTGGAAGGGGAAGGGCAGGGGCTAGGGAAGCAGGTCAGGAAGGGGCCTGTGGGACTGCTGGGCGGGAGCCCAGCTCAGCTGGGGAGGAGCCTCGAGGAGAGGAGGGGCAGATGTGGAGATCAGTGGGCAGAGGGGCTGACCAGGAGGACACAGGGACAGGAGGGGACCACCCTCTGCCCAGCCTGGGCCCCCTGCCCGGAGGTAGAGGCTGGGAATGAATTCCTCCACGTGGGGGGGGCGGGCAGCCAGGCTGGGCGGGGAGGGGCTGAGTCCTCCATGGCCCCAGGGCTGGGTGGTGGCGCCCCCTGAGTGACACAAGGCTTCCCTGCCCCACACCAGCACCCTCCACCTGGGGTGGGGTCCTCGTCCCCCCCAAACTCCGTCTTCCCGCGGTCGGTCTGACTCACGCTCTTGTCGCGGTCCTGGCTGGGCTCCTCGGGTGCCAGCTCGCCGACCAGCAGGGGCTTCATGAACTTGCGCACAAAATTGAGGTCTGGGTGGAAGGCGCGGAAGGCATCCTGGGGAGCAGCGGGGGAGCGGTGAGTGGGGACCCCAACCTCAGCCTGCGCCCCTACTGGGGAGGGCGGGGCTCACCAGCAAACCTGTGCGCCTCCCACGAACCAGCCCCAAATGCTCCCTCAGGCCCCATGCAGGGCCCATCCCTCAGTGCCGGGCTCCCACCCAGGTGCCACCTGGGCCTCTGCCTTGGTGAGAGTCTGCTGAGCTCGCCAAGGATGCCCCCCTGGGCAGGGCCCCCCGGGGACAGGCAGGGAGCAGTCCCCGGCTGGGCAGGACCCGGGAAGGACGTGGCCTCGGGCTCCTCTGCTGGGTGCCTGGGAGCCCGCACGCGGCCATCGGTGAGATGACGATCGACCACACGGCGAGAAAAGGCACCAGGAGACGATGGGAAACCAGAAACCAACACAGACTCGGGTCCGAGCGCGGCCGACCAGAGCTTCCTCCCCGTTTGAAGCAGCAGCACGTGCCCATGAGAAGGGTGTTACGGATGCAGAGACTTTGGGGCGAGCTTACTGCCATCCCTTCTCGTGCCTCCTCTCCCATTGCTGTGGAGCTTTTGCTACTAAGAAGAGCTTATGCATTCTAATGTTCTTTCCCCTTAGAAGGTAGTAATATGCACAATTTTGGCAAATTTAGTGACTGAGCATCGACCAAGGAACCAGGAGGTCACGGTTCTATTCCCGGTCAGGGCACAGGGCACAGGCCCGGGTTGCAGACTCGATCCCCAGTGCGGAGCATGCAGGAGGCAGTTGATCCATGACTCACTGATGTTTCTCTCCCTCCCTCTCCCTTCTTCCCCGACATCAATTGATGTTTCTCTCCCTCCCTCTCTGACATCAACAGAAATACATTTTTTAAGAAACCAGCCAAAACCGGTTTGGCTCAGTGGATAGAGCGTCGGCCTGTGGACTATAAGGTCCCGGGTTCGATTCTGGTCAAGGGCATGTACCTTGGTTGCGGCCACATCCCCAGTAGGGGGTGTGCAAGAGGCAGCTGATCGATGATTCTCATCGATGTTTCTAACTCTCTATCCCTCTCTCTTTCTCTCTGTAAAAAATCAATAAAATATATATATTTTTTTTTAAAAAAGAAAGAAAAAGAAACCAGAGGCTCTGTTCTGAAGAGGCTCCCCGACCTCCAATAGGGCTCCGTCCCGAGGCAGGAAGCACGTTCACTGCACCGAGCCCACCAGTCGGTGCTCGGCCCAGCCTGCCCTCCACGTGCTCAGAACACACAGGAGCCCACCGATGGGCAAAACCACCACCACCACCACCACACCTGTTGACAATAAAGGGTCCAGTACCTCATGCAACTTCCGCAATCACTTTGGCAGCTTCAGGAAGGAAGAAGCTCATCAAACATTGTACGGCGGGGCCGTCTGCGCTCACTTCTTACCACCTCCCGCCAGGAGGGCCACGCCTGCCTCCTTCGGGGCTGCAGCCCGGGGCCTCCCACAGTGCCTCCCAGGAGGCTCACCCAGGACCCCGCACGGCGCTCCCCGGCTCCCCGCGCCCCAAGAGACTCCCCACTCTGCAATCGTGCTCAGACTCCCGCGGTGCTCCCCCAACGCTGCCCTCCTTTCCTCGGGGCGTCTGTGGAGCCCCGGCTGCACGCAGCAGCCACCGACCTTTCCACAGCTCTGGGACAGGCCATTCAAGAGATCAGGATTAGAGGAGCCGGGAGACGGGGGGCCCACCCCGGCCCCCTCCGCGGGGCCTCCCCTCGAAGCATCGCCCCTGGGGGGCAAGACAGGGACAAGCGAAGTGGGTTTGGGAACAAGAAGGGGAGACAAGCCACAGACCTCCAGGGAGAGCCGGGCAGCGACAGGCTGATGGGGCAGCACCCCCTCCCCCCCAAGGAGGGCATGTCGGGGGTCAGGAGGTCAGGCTGCAGGAGGCCAGACCCAGAGCACCGACGCCCAAATGGAAGACAGGTGTCACATGTCTGGGCGCCGGTTTCTGCTCCTGTCATGGCCGTTCCAAGGCCCCTGCCCCAGCCCGGCCCTGAGCACCCCGCCATGCTGTCTCCGCTGTGCCCCCCCTGCCCCCGCTGCAGAGCACGCTGGTCTGTAGCCAGCTTCGCACACGGGGCACCGAGCCGGCACGGGGAGCGTGGGACTCAGTGCGGGAGGAGCCGGCTCCTGGCAGACAGCGCTGGGCAGCGGCCTTGGGAACGGGACCTGGGACACGTGGTGAGGGGGAAGCCGAGGGGGGACCGGGGTTCCCGGATGGAGGCAGGGAGGCTGTCTTCCTTCCCAAGCAGAGAGGTGCAGGCAGGGCGTGTCCCCTCTGAGGCGAGGAGCAGCAGAGGCTGGGGGCAGTGCTGTGCCCCAAGAGCTCGTGGATGCAACCTCCCCCCCCCCCAGCAGCCTGGGCTGATGGGGCCTAAGAGACCGGAATGCTGGGCTGGGCCAGGGGTCCCCCCCACCCCCCCACCTAGTTGGGTGAGCCGAGCTGCCCTCCAGGCACAACCCTGGAGAATTCCAGTAAATGTGCCTCCTCCGGTAAAAGTGGGGACACCTGTGTACCCCTTCTTCCCACCCCTTCTCCTGTGTCCTGAGCCTCCTCCGTGTGCCGGGAACACGCAGAGTCAGATCCTTCACACCCGCAGGGCAGTCAGAAGTCTGAGCAGTGACCTCACAGGTCACAGAGCCGGAGGGCAGTGTCCGCCTAGGAATGCACACCGAGCGGTCCTCTCCGGTGTCCCGCCCCGGGGCAAGGAGGGGAGGGCGCCCACTTTCCATCTGAGGGCGGCCCTTTCAGGACCGGACAACGCGGGAGCAGGTTAGAGTCCTGGCCCCTTTCTCCCTCTCCGGGCTCTGGGAGGGGGCAGGGCAGGAGCTGCTGGACAAGAGGGGGTGGAGGCGGTGGGAGGGAGCTGGGACGAGAGGCAGGAATCCCCAGTCCAGGCCCCACTGGGAGGAAGGAGGGAAAGTGGATTCCTCCCTTAGTCTTCCTTTGCCTGAGGCCCAGCTCTGAGAGTGGATGTATGAGAAACTGTAGCTGGAGGTTAAAAGTCCCCCGTGGAGCCGAAGCCAGTTTGGCTCAGTGGATAGAGCATCGGCCTGCGGACCGAAAGGTCTTGGGTTTGATTCCAGTCCAAGGGCCTGCACCTTGGTTTCAGGCACATCCCTGGTAGGGGGTGTGCAGGAGGCAGCTGGTTGATGTTTTCTCCCATCAATACTTCTCTCTATCCCTCTCCCTTCCTCTCTATAAAAATAAATAAATAAATAAATAAATAAATAAATAAATAAATAAATAAAATATATTTTTAAAAAATAAAAGCCCCCTGTGGCGAGAGCTCCGCGCAGAAGTGGGACTACGCCATGTGTCGACCTGTAAACCAAAAGGCCATATAGTTCGAAGTTCGATTCCCAGTCAGGGCACAGGCCGGGGTTGTGGGCTCCATCCCCAGTGTGGGGCGTGCAGAAGGCAGCAAATCCATGATTCTCTCTCTCATCATTGGTGTTTCTCTCCCCCTCTCCCTTCCTTTCTGAAATCAAATATAGAGATTTTCGAAGAGCAGAGAGTGCAGAGGACCAGAGCGAGAGAGAGCTGAGGTGAAATAAGGGGGGGGGGGGGGGGAAGATCTCAGTGATGGCAGGTCCCGAGTTTAGGCCCAGGGGCCGGGGAACCAAACTCAAAACCTTGGCGTATTGGGAGGACACTCTACCCAACTGAGCGAGAGCCGGCTGGGTTCCAGCCCGGGGCTGGGGCAGGCTTTTAAGTCAGAGGTGCGTCCAGGGCTGACCCCGGCCCGGGGGAAGGCGGCAGGCAGGAATGGGGTGTGTGCACCGTAAGCAGCTGTTCTCCTGACGGGCCAGGGCGTCCTAACGCCACGGGAGGCCCAGCGGGTCGGCCAGGCCCTCCTCTGAGTCACCTTTCTGGGGAAGAGGGGGTGCTGGGTCCTGAGGTCCATTCGGAAGCAGGGAAACCCCCCACTAAAAACCCAGGTATCCCCAGGGGTTCCCGTGGCCTCCAGCCTCCTGAGGACCCGAGTCCCACTGGCCTCCTAACGGCATCAAGAGCTGCAGGAGTGCGGCCTCTGCCGCCTGGTTCCTCTCCAAACCCCCATGACCCCTAACACTGCGCTCCCCAAACCCTGTCAGTCCATGCCCCTGGGGGCAAAGCACCTGCTCAACAGCCTGAAAACAAAACCCTCGGATTCCAAGTCCCCCTCCCATACTCCCCATGTTGGGGGGCGGGGGAGAATGAATGACTTTCTGGGCGGTCACTTCACATTATTCAACTGTCCCCTCAGTTGGTCCATTTCAGGTTTCTCGCCTGCGACGAAGGGAGCTCCTGGGGGAGGGCTCTGTCCGCGGAGAGCGCGGGGCACCCCTGGCGCTGGACTCAGAGGGCCGTTGAGTTGAACGCCCCCGAGTAACCCCGAGGCCGAGGACCTGTTGCCAAGCCCGTCCCGAGCGGCTGCATGCCCGGGCTCCCGGCCTCCCCACCTGGGCTCTGCACCCCCCTATCCTCCTCCATCTCCCCAAGCCTCCCAGCCCCCCAAGAAGGGGGTCCAGGGGAGAGGGGGTCCCGGGAGGCTGAGCGTGGGCACGGGGCTCCGAGGTCTCCGGCGGCCCTGGCGGCCACTCGGCCCGGCCGGATCTGGTCCCCCCTGGCCGGCCACCTGGCTCCTCCCGGCTCTCCGCGGCGCCGGGCGGCCATCTTCCACGCCGGGGGGCGCCAGAGCTCCGGGGCCGAGCGCCCTTTTCGGGGCGCCCGGGGCCGTGAGCCCCGCGGGAGGGGCGGCCGCGTGGGCGCCGCGCGCCGGGAACCTCCTCCTGCGCGGTCCTCCCGCCCCGGCTCCCCGCGGCGCCGCCCCCTCCCTCCCTCCCGGAGCCCCCATTCCGGCCCCAATCCGGCCCGCCGCAGGGGCCCTCTGCTCCCGGGCCAGAGCCCGGGCGGGAGAGCCGCGGACACGGTCTCCCGGGCGCCCCGACTCCGCGCCCAACTCCCGCAGCAGCGCCGGGGGGCGCCCCGGGAGCACGGCTCCCGCCGCCGCCGCCGCGGGGCCGGGCGGAGGGCGGAGGGCGGCCTTACCGTGGCGTCCTCGCCCGCGAAGTGCCGGAGGACGCGGTGGCCGCCCGGGTGCCGGCCGGACCACCGGGTGACGTCGTAGACCCGGCGGTCGACGACCAGCCACTGGTCGGAGCGCAGGTTGTGCTGCTGGATCTCCTCCCAGCGGAAGGTGGGCAGCGGCGCCTCGCGCTCCGGGGCCCCGTCGCCCTGGTTGCCCCCCTTCCCCATGCCGCCCGCGGACCCCAGTGCCCCGCGCCCCGCGGCCTCCCGGCGCCCGCTGCCCGAGAGTGCGGCCCGGCCCGCCACGCCTCCGGCTTTTGTCTTCTCCTCCCCCTCCTCCCCCCCTTCCTCCTCCCCCTCTCCCCCTTTCCTCCCCCCCTTCCTCCTCCTCCTCCTCCCCTTCTGCCCCTTTCCTCCTCTTCCTCCTCCCCCTTCTCCCCCTTTCCTCCCCCTCCTCCTTCTCCTCCTCCTCCCCTTCTCCCCCTTTCCTCCTCCTCCTCCTCCCCTTCTCCCCCCTTCCTCCTCCCCCTCCTCCTTCTCCTCCTCCTCCCCTTCTCCCCCCTCCTCCTCCTCCTCCCCTTCTCCCCCCTTCCTCCTCCCCCTCCTCCTTCTCCTCCTCCTCCCCTTCTCCCCCCTCCTCCTCCTCCTCCTCCTCCTCCTCCCCTTCTCCCCCCTGCAGCCTCCCCCCACTTCCTCGACGCGGCCTGGAGCGCGCGGCCCAAGGTCCCTCGGAACCGCCCGGGTCCCCGGGGCCCCCGCCCGCCGCCGGCGCCCGCCTTTCGCCGCCGGTGGAACCTCCCTCCCTGCGCTCAGGGCCCCGCCGCCGCCCCCGCCCGCCCCGGGCCCCGCATCCTCCCGCCGCCGTTTCCACGGCGATCAGCAGAGCGCCTGCACCAATCGGCGCGCGCCGCCCCGCCTGCCATTGGCCCGGGAGGATCTTTCGAACCCGGCGGCTGAGCGGCGGTCCGGCTCCCCGCCCGCCGGCCGGCCGCCCCGCGGGGCGGGCTACGTGTCCACCCCCCACTCCCTCGCCGGCGCCGGCGGAGCTGCCCGAGGGGCGGGCGGGCGGGCGGGCGCGCGGCCAGGCTGGGGGCGGGGAGGGGCGCGCCTCACTCGGCCGGTGCTCGCTGGGTTCGCACCTGATGGGGCACAAAGACGGCTCGGTCCGATTGCAGGCGAGGCGGGGCGGGGCGGGGGGGGGGGGGCGCCCGGGCTGGTGGCGCGGAGCTAGGGGACCCCCCTCCGCGCCTGCAATCTGGATTCCCGTCGTTGTCTGCGCCTCCCACTGGCGCCTCCCCGCAGCCCCCTCCCCGCACCCCCGGAAGGGCTCGTGCAGGACCCTGAACCCGGTCACCCGCGGTCCGGGCCGGTCCGTAGACAGGGACGGGGCACCGCCGCTCATTCTCCGGGTGCCGAGGCCACGGGGCAGCAGGACAGGGCCCTTGCTCTGGGCTCTGGAAGCCACAGCCTCGCTGGGAGACGGACGCGTTGGGGGACTCCCTGGGTAGTGCTGGGCCCGGCGCTGGGAGATAAAGCTGGGGGCGCTGAAGGGGGAGCGCCAGGTCCCGGGCCCTCGCCCGATGGAGCTGCTTAGCGCGGTGCCCCCAGGAAAGGGCTGGCAGGGAGCCCCGGGCGCAGAAGGCTGGCTGAGGACGAGGGGGCAGTTGGGGTGAACGGAGGGAGGGGGGTGAGTGTGTGTGTAAGGCCTTGGGAATCCAGCGTTATTGAGGAGCCCTCAGATTTCAATGGGATGGTATCCAGGAAGGGGGGGGGTACTCTCCTGGGGAGGGTCTCACTCCAGCCCTCAGAGGGGACCAGACCCCTCTAGTTCTCTGCAAACACGGAGGGGCAGGCTGAGGAAAGATGATCAGATACTGGAGGGCCAGCTGGGCAGGGTCCAGACATCACTCACACTGCCCACCCCCCTTCCTAACAGGCTCAGGGGAAAGGAACCATTGCACAAACTTGGCTGAAGTGCGACCTGATGCAGGGAAGCTCACGCTGGCCCCTGGTGGGGGACAGGGAAGGGGGGGCGGTCCTGGGACCCTGCTGTTCCGGCAGGGGCTGGCTCCTCTATAGCCCTGTCACGCCATGCTGGTATCCGTCCCCAGAGTCCTCCCTTCAGCCCCAAACTCCAGGCGGGAGGAGGACAGGACTCTCGCTCTCACGATGAGAAGATGAAGCAAGTGCGAGGGACACTGACTTCTACGCCTCTTCACTGAAACAGTAACCAGGATTTTGATTTTTTTCGGGAGGAGGATGAGCACAAAACATAGATAACTTGAACGTAGAAAAAAAGTCGAAGGCCATGGAGCTCAGAGGAAAACATTCGATCTGGAAGGGAGACACGGGACCCAGCCTGCGTGGCTCAGGGGTTGAGCATCGACCTGTGAACCAGGAGGTCACAGTTCGATTCCCAGTCAGGCCACGGGCCCGGTTGCCAGTTGGATCTCCAGTGTGGGGTGTGCAGGAGGCAGCCAATCCATGGTTTTCTCTCATCTTTGATGTTTCTATCGCTCCCTCTTCCTTCCTCTCTGAAATCAATTTAAAAAAAAATTTTAATGAAAGGGAGATTCTAGGGGAGAGGACCCAAGTGACAGATCACCTTACTGGTGCTTGACCAGAAAATTCCAGACAGGTTGTTTAAGATGTTTTTGGGAGAGGTTGGAAGTGCAATCAGATCAGGTTAGTAAATCGAGGTTTGTTATCATGGCCTTTTGGTTTGTGAAGATGGCCTTTTAGACACCATCTTGGTGTTATTTTATTATATATATATATATATATTTTATTGATTTTTTTACAGAGAGGAAGGGAGAGGGATAGAGGGTCAGAAACATCGATGAGAGAGAAACATCAATCAGCTGCCTCTTGCACACCCCCTACTGGGGATGTGCCTGCAATCAAGGACATGCCCTTGACCGGAATCGAACCTGGGACCCTTCAGTCTGAAGGCTGACGCTCTATCCACTGAGCCAAACTGGCCAGGGCCATCTTGGTGTTATTGGCAGAGTCCCTTTAGTACCCCCACCGGATACTGGTGGGAGTGGTGCTCTTGAGAGATGCCACAGGAATAAGGATTTTCTGAGGCCCCCACGGAAGGAGGAGGCATTATGGGAAGCTTTGTCGGTGATGTCTCTTTTCAAGGTCCTCCGCTGGCCATGGGAAAAGGCCCGTTTTGTCTGAGTCAGAATTAAAGCTACTGCCCAGGGTTTCTGCTCCAGGTTGAAACGCAGTCCAGTCCAGCGTCTGGCTAGTTTGTTTGTGCTCCCAGCTGCAGTCTGTTGTGAAATAGGAATTTTTAGGGGGAAATAGGCATATGTAGAAGAAGTTTAGAATTGATGGGGCCCCAGGCAAAATACACAGGGCTACAGAGATGAGAGAAGTTACATTTCCCATAAGATAAAGGAACTGGCTGTGGCAATATATTTACAAAATAAAGCAGGAGGAGGAGGAAGAAAGCCCAGAGGGAATAGGGAAAATTAAAAAAAAAAAAAAAAAAAATGAAAGGGAGACCCGGGGACTAGCTCGTGGAGGGGGCTCGCAGCTGAGAAGAGGGTGTGTGAGAAGGCACCAGGCCCTAGAAGGCAGCCAGGGTGTTTGGGATGGACAAGAAGTATGAACGGGCCAGGGTGAGGGGTTCCCAGCAGGTCCTAGCATAGCACTACCCAGAGAAGGCCCTGTAAAACCATGGCTGAAGACATCAATGAGTGAATGAATGAATGAGTGAATGAATGAAAAGACAGGGAGGAATGGCTCGGATGGGGGTTCTGAGAGAGCTGGAGCGGGGTACAGATTGGGAAAAGCCTTGCGTGCTTTGGGGGGGATGAGGACTTGAGCCTGGAGGAGGAGGAATGCATAAAGCAGGAATGTGCTATGACCGAGGTCCATGGCGTGGGCAGATCTCGGGAGGCAGGCAGGGGGAGGGGGAGGGGACGTAGGACAGAGACCGTGGAGACACCAAGATCAGTTCAGGGGCCTCTGCAGCACTCCTGTGGGCGAGAGAGGAAGAGGGGCCTGGGCTACGAGAGAACTGCAGGCTGGAGCCCACAGCAGACCCTGCGGCCTCACCCCGGCTGCTCTCTTCCTGCTCTATTATTTATCGCTCTCACTGCTTAGATGGACCGATAGCATTGTTCCCGGAGAGGAAAGCCCAGTCTCCAGCTGGCCCCCGTCACTTACGAAAAGGGGTGATCTCAGAGAGGGGTGAGGTGCGCCTGGCTTCCTCCTGCCCCACAGAATCCCTCCCGGGGCCTCCAGCCGGACCAAGGACCGCAGCCTCCCGGGGGCCTGGCCAGGAATTCATTGACATCGTTGCACTTTATCAGAATCCAAAGAGGCCAGCCCGCGTGGCTCGGAGCCCAGGCCCTCAGGCAGCGTGGAAAAGCTGGGCAGACGGACGGACGGGAGTGGCAAGAAATATTCAAAGTGATGAATAGCCACCTACAACCTACAACCAAGATTACTGTACCCAGCAAAGTTATTTAGAATTGAAGGTCAGATAAAAAGCTTCACAGATAAGAAAAAACTAAAGGAGTTCATCACCACCAAATCAGTATTACATGAAATGCTGAAAGGTATTCTTGAAGAAGAAGGAGGAGGAGGAGGAGGAGGAGGAGGAGGAGGAGGAGGAGGAGGAGGAGGCCGAAACCGGTTTGGCTCAATGGATAGACTGTCGGCTTGGGGACTGAAAGGTCCCAGGTTCCAGTCAAGGGCATGTACCTTGGTTGCGGGCATATCCCCAGTAGGGGGTGTGCAAGAGGCGGCTGATTGATGACTCTCTCTCATCGATGTTTCTAACTATCTCTCTCCCTTCCTCTCTGTACAAAATCAATAAAATATATATTTTAAAAAGAAGAAGAAGGAGAAGGAGAAGGAGAAGAAGAAGAAGAAAGGAGAAGAAGAAGAAGAAGAAAAAGGTCAAGATAAAAATGATGATCAACAAACACATATATATTTCAACAAGTGAATCTAAAAATCAAGTGAATTAAAAATCTGAGGAACAGAATAAACGTGAATACAATAGAATCAGGGGCATAGAAAGGGAGTGGACTGATAATTATCAGGGGGAAAGGGGTGCAGGGGTGCAGGAAGAGACTGGATTAAAATCCTACACCTATGGGTGAGGACAATGGCGGGGGGGGAGGTAAGGGCAGAGGGTGGGGTGGGAACCGGGTGGAAGGGAGTTATAGGGGGAAAATGAGAAACAATTGTAATAATCTTAGTAATAA